GACTGTAAGTGGGGAAATAATAAGGAAAACTGCTCACTACTCTTCGTTTCTCTTGAAGATTGTCAACAACTAGCCTTGTACAGGCTCTGAGAATTCCTGCAGGGAAGTGTGAGTTTTCCTAGCAGTTTCTAAATATGTTTGATCCTGTGGCATGTATTTCTAACAGCATTTATTTCTAATTTCCTGTCCTTCTGGAACACCTTGATAGACCCTGCTTCTGAATACATTCTTGTAAGTGGAATTGTCAGGGCAAAGTTGTATGAGTGTTTATAAGGATCACACACTAGAGCAAGTACTTACTGGCCATCGTGGGGAACCCTGGCTTTCACTGAGTTGCAAGAACGGATGTTCAGGGCTCCAGGCTGGCTTTGGAGGCTGTTCCACCTGTCTCCAGTCAGTCCACCCCACTGGACATGTGTAGATGGAGCTGAGAGGCCAGGGAGAGTAAAGAAATGTCTCTGGTTTTACTGATAGAGGAGACTGGGAAGGTAGGTGGGCGCCACTTCCATTTGGGAATGTTCACCTGCTTTTGCCGATCTTTGGGAATATCATTCTTCAAGTCCCAAGCCTTGAAGTCACAGCATCGGTCAGTGATGGGAGTGAGCTGGGGCCTTGTTGTAGGCATGAACATGACCTGATGCACACATTCTCTCTTACATGATTTTCATGTGAACAGAAGCTGCAAGATGGGTAGCATTTGGCTGAGGACCTTGTACGTCCAGTAGGACCGTAACCCACCTTCCTGACAGCACTTGGCACAGAGCCAAGGCCATAGAATGGGGCTACCTACTTGTGTCCTGGCTGGGAGGCTCTTCTGGGAGGCACCATGGGCGATATCCTGGAATGTTGGGATACAGCCGTGTTGTGTTAGGTAAGAGTAGACTGAGCAAGTGAACTGAGCTGCCCACCACCAAGTAAGCCCTATGAAGTGTGGCAAAATGAGAAGACAACACTTTTATATATTTCTGTGACAAGGGCAAACTTAAAAAAAATGTAGTATGTTCTATCTTGGATATCTGTGAAGAAATCTGTTATTAGAAGCAAGATCTGTGAGTAGTATTAAACACAGAGCATTGTCTTAAAAGGGCACTTTAAAAAGGTCATGGAGAATGTGTATTATGAAAAAACAATTTACAAGGATTTCAAAATCTTTCATGCCAAAACAGACTTACGTTTTAATTCCATTTCCTATGAACTTTTTGAAGTACACTTGTAGGTTGCATGAGTCAGTATTCTGTTTTGTAAGAACACTTGAGCTGTGGTTATGAATCTCGTCCTTGTTCCTAAGGGAGGTGGTTGGCAGTGTTTTTCTGTATAGGAGGCAGGGGGAAGGCAGAGGTGGTGGGGCCTGCCTGTCAGATGCAGCTGGACTCTGGGCTCCTTGTCAGCGAGGGCACTGCACTGTGCATCCATTGAGCTCTACCCAGGATTTTAAGATTTTCATGTACTTATGGGTATGCCTCTACATCTGCCCTTCTAAAACAGATTTAGGACAGGGACAAAAGTCACGTCAGATACCGGGTCATTCTCCCACAGCATCAGAAGGTTCGACCTGCACAGCTCCGAGCAGGCTCAGAGGAGGTGGTGGTGCTTCCGTGAAGCCTGTAGGAATACCTGCATCCACCCTACCTGCCGGTGAGGGTTACTGCATGGCTCACAGTCCATGCTGGCAGCCTGTCAGAAGTTTGTGGAAGTGACTCAGTGTTTCTCTGACTTGCGTTCTCACCCCCGCCCACTGACCATGCACCTATACTCCATCTGATTATCATGATCCCATATTTTCGTAGTTTTTTTTTTTAAAGTGTTTAAAAGCTATCAAGAAGATGAGGTCAGTCACTTTTGCTTTGTTTAGATCAGCATTTCTCAGGAGGTGGTCCTTGGGCTGTGTCAGCCTCATGGGGCAGGGGTCTTATTAAAATGCTGATTCCTGGGCCCCATCTGGCCCCACTGGATTAGAATCTCTGAAGCTGAAGGAGCAGGATTTACCTTTTTTTGCAAGGTGCCCAGGTGATTCTTCTGCACACGTATGTCTGAGGACTCTTACTGGGGTTGGTCAGAAGAGTAATGGGTTGCTTAGGTCCTCTGCAGCAAGTGGACTTCCTGCTTCCTCCTAGGATGAGTGCAGGCAACTCCAACCCCGTGTCCCTCACCTCCACTCCCACCCCCGGGTCCCAGAGCTGCCCTGCTCTGCCCCACCCCCAACTGATGCTTGTCTTCCCTGCTTGCTGCTCAGTTAATTCCACCTCACATGTTTCTGTCCCTTAGACAAATATTTGCAGGGCCTGAGCAAACCCTGAGAGGAGGACCATGTGCAGAGAGAGCTGAAGAGTAGGGAACACAGGTGATGGGGTGGGGGAGGGGGACTGAGAGGAAGAGGCAAGGCCGGGAGCAGGGTGCATGGGGGGACTGCAGGGTGCCAGGGAGACATCACATGTCAAAGGTCCCAGAGGCCATGAACGTGTTTAGAAAGTCTACTGGATGAGGTCTCCTAGGAAGTAGGGAATGTGAGTCTTTTTTAAAGCCTTATTGACATATAATTGATAACTAAAAATTGTATATATCCAAGGTGTACCACGTGATGTCTTGATGTACATAGTCAGGTGAAATAATTCTCACAATCAAGCTAATTAACACATCTATTGCCTTGAGTAGTTGCTGCCTTTATATGGTAAATCCTTAAGCTCTACTCTGTCAGCAGTTTTGGGGTGTACAGCTTATTACTGTTGACTGAAATCACCCCACTGTATGTTAGGCTTCTGAGACTGATTCACCGTGGTGAACCTGGAGGACATTGTGCTAAGTGAGATAAGCCAGACACAGATGCTATGTGATCTCACTTAAATACAGAATCTCAAAACGTCAAACTCACAGACACAGAGTAGAAATGTTATGGGGGAAGGGTTGGCTGAGAGAATCAGAGTGATGTTGGCCAGAGGGTCAAAACTTACTAGACTGGGAATCTTCTGAGACCTGCCAGTCATCTCTGAAAAGATATCCTCTTTCTACTTTCCCATGCTTTCTTTCCTTTTCCCACTGCTGCCCTCCCAAACACCAGGGGTTCAGCGACAGCAAACACATGAGGTCACGTGCTGCTATTCCACTTGGTCCCCTCCACCTCCCAGAAAGCCCTCTGAGGCCCCAGCAAGCCTGAGCCCCTCCACCCCCCAAATCTCAGTGCATATGCTCTGGCAGTAGTGGCCACACCCATCTGTAGGGCGTGAGCTTGAGTAGACACCTACATTGTCTCTCTCGAAGCTTCCACCAGACCAATGCTGTACCCACTGCAAGCAGACAATTGCGTAGGCTTCGAAAGATCTTGAGGAGTTCCAACCTGGAATATTCTTTTTTAGAAACCAGTTCAGCTTGGTAGGTCTATAATCCAAATACATTTTATTATTTTAAATATGCCTTAAAAGTTGAGGCCTAGACACTTAGATTCAAAGAATGTTAATTTGGTGTTGGTAAAAGTTTTAATAAAGAAGGTAAAATACTTATAGCAAGTGAAAATCATTTTGTATTCAAGAAGCATAGTGAGAGGAAAATATAGACACAGCCCCCATCTGCCAGTTCACTCCCCAAGTGCCCACAAAGGCCAGGACCGGGCTGGACCATTGCTGGTGGTAGGGGGCTTACGGGTCTCTGTTCTTGTCTCCAACATAGAAAGAATTCAAGGATGAAACATAGATAAAGGTTAGCAGGGGAATAAGATTTATTAGCAAGGTGGAAGTACAGACTCGTGAGAGTGTGTGGGCATGGTCAAAGGTGAGCTGTGCCCCATGACATTCGGAGTCACTCTTCCATGTGATCTGGAGGCATAACGGGTAGTGCCTTGGGCAGAGTTGTCTAAGAAAGGATGGAGATTTCCAAGAATTCGGTGACTGCCCATTTCCTGACCTTTTCAGGAAGTCTTGGAAGTATCATGATGTCAGATGCATGATGGGAATGGGAGTGTCAGCAATGGTAATTTTATTATAATGATATTGTAATAGGCTATAGGTCACTGCAAGGATGCAGTCAACAACCATGTTGGATACTTTCAGTTGGCTCCAGTTCTAGGCAGCAACTCTGCTACAGTAGTGATTTCGGATTGCTGAGAATGAGGGGGATTTAGAGGCAACCCTGAGGGGGGATGTGGTGACGTCTTTCCTCCCCCTCTGTTTTTGGTCCTTGACCGTCTCCTTACCTGTATCACTGGGAGCTGGGAGCCCAATCCAGATTTCCTAAGTGGGTGGCAGGGACCCAAGCACCTGAGCCATCCTCTGCTACCTCCAGGGGTGCATGGTGGCAGGAAGCTGGAGTTGGGAGCCAAAGCCAGGAACTGAACCCCAGCACTCCAGTATGGGAAGAGGAAGTCTTACCTGATGTCTTAACCAGGCCAAGTGCCCACGCCTCAAACAAGAATCTTAAAGAAGACTGGCAGCGCCGGCGCTGCAGCTCACTAGGCTAATCCTCCGCCTAGCGGCGCCGGCACACCGGGTTCTAGTCCCGGTTGGGGCGCCGGATTCTGTCCCGGTTGCCCCTCTTCCAGGCCAGCTCTCTGCTGTGGCCTGGGAGTGCAGTGGAGGATGGCCCAGGTGCTTGGGCCCTGCACCCCATGGGAGACCAGGAAAAGCACCTGGCTCCTGGCTCCTGCCACCAGATCAGTGCGGTGCGCCGGCCGCAGCGCGCCGGCCGCGGCAGCCATTGGAGGGTGAACCAACGGCAAAGGAAGACCTTTCTCTCTGTCTCTCTCTCTCTCTCACTGTCCACTCTGCCTGTTAAAAAAAAAAAAAAAAAAAGAAGACTGGCAGTAGTAGATCAACCATACCTGTATTTTCGTTTTTCTTTTTTAACCATTTAAAAATACCTTCTGAAGTGTTTCACTGCACAGGCATTCTTACAGAATGTAAAAGCTGCCCCAGCGGCCTGGGGGTCAAGGGAAGGGAGGACTGCAGGAGAGGCTGTCAGTGTGCGGTGTCCGCACATTGTGCCCCAACTGCCCTGTGTTTCTCTTGTTGCAGGTGATTTTCAAAGCCAAGTCAAAGTACTCTCCAGAGTTGCTCAAATACCGGTAAGTGCCCTGGGGTGTTCTCGCCACAGTAGGAGATGAGAGCACTCGCTTATTATGCTCGTCTCTCCATCCGAGGTTTGCACACATCACCACTCCTATCCGAGCCCCTGAAACAGCCCCGCCTGTCACCTGTCTGCCTGCAAGCATTGTCTCAATGCCACTGAATCGGGCCTTGCAACACATTCACCTTGTCTGGAAACAAGAGCCTGGTGCCTTGCTAACCAGGAGGAAGGAGATGCACGCTGTGTCTAAGCCTTTCTCAGGCACCTGAGAAATCAGCAGCCTCTGCCAAAGGAAAACAGCTTCCCTGAAGATGCCCGTATGTGGCCAGGTGCCTGCAGGTGCAGTGATGGAAGCACTTGCCCCCGTAGCCCTGCCCTCCAGCTGGTGGCCTGACCCCTCTCCCTTGTCTCTGGCTGCTGACCAGCAGTTGGCTCCTGGTTTTCCAGAACTCCGCTAACCAGCATTTAGTTTCCATCACTTGCCACACGGCTGCTGGCCAGGCCCCATCCATATTCCAGCAAGTATAGCTTTGACCATTCAGTCCTGTGTCAGGCACCATGAGGAGGAAATGTCCCGGAGAAGTAGATGCTGTGTGTAGAGTTGTTGGAAATGACACAGACACTTGGAGCATTGAAAATATTTGGGGAAAAATTGTGTTTATGTTGAATATGTACAGACTTATTTTTTGTCATTATTCCCTAAATGTCTTCATCTATTTATATAGCATTTGTATTAAGTATTATAAGTAATCTGGAAATAATTTAAATATATGGCCAGGGTCAGGTGTTTAGCCTAGGATTAAGATATTGGTTAAGATAACCACATCCCGAAGTAGAGTACTTGAGTTTGATACCCAGTTCTAGCTCCTCACTCCAGCTTCCTGCTAGTGCAGACCATGGGAGGCAACAGTGAGAGCTCAAGGAGCTGGGTTCCTGTTACCCACTGGGAGATCTGGATTGAGTTCCTGGCTCTAGCTTCTGCCCTGCCTAGCGCCAGCCATTGCAGGCATTTGAGGAATGAATCAGCTAATGGGACATCTCTCTCTCTCTCTCTGCCTCTCCAAAAAAGAAACAACAACCCCTTCCCCCAAAAACCCAAACAAAAAACAGAATGCAGGTGTACTAAAATCACCTCCAAGCTGTATGCACTGTATATGGTATCTATGAAACATAAATGAATTTCATGTCTAGACTTAGGTTTTATCCACAAGATGGCTCATTATGTGTATGCAGATATTCCAGAACCTAAAATATATCCCAAATCCCACACTTCTGTTCCCACATACTTCAGATAAGGAATAGTTAACATGCAGTAAGTCCAGGTAGAAGACCCCTTCTCCTCTGCAGTCAGAAACCAGCCAGGCGTTTCTTTTGCATCTATACATTTGCCCTCCGTCCCTTCACACCAACTGGGGGAGAGTATCCTGATTGGATCGTGAAACTGATTTTCTCTTGGCAATGGTTGGTTAAGGCTGAAGTAATGAGATACCTTCTGGGGATGGACTATGAAAGCCCTGCTCAGAGAGGAAATCATTTAACAGACTTGCATCCTCTGAGCACTGGGAGTAGCGTCTTTGGGTGAGAAGATGTTTGGGGCCGGAGCAGTACTGGCTTGGCCTTGAGTCAGAATACACCTAGGAGACAGGCCACGTTGACATCTGTGGCTGTTTTTATTGGGAGGGAATTTGTGGAGATGAAGGGAGAAATAGAGTGGGTGCGGATGTTAGAAATGAGATGTTTGGTCTGGAGAAAGTAGGGAGTTTCTTGGAGCTGGAGGGTGAGGGTTCGTCAGAAGCCTCGCAAGGCAGAAGTGATAATCGACTTACCCCGTGTAAGGAAGTCCTGGGGTTACACATGTCTGGGCATGTCCTCAGTCTCATCTGCTTCACTCTCCGCGGCCCCTTAGGCCACGTTCCACTGCACACACACTGCAGGCCGTCCTTTCTCCCTCGGGAGCTTTGGTATGTGGGCATCCAGACAGATTGCCTTCCCTCATTTAATTGCAACTCACTTGAAATGAAATATAAGCCATCAATCTACAACTAGTTGGAACTTCTACTCCAAGCTATTCCTGTAGCAACTCTGTTTTTTGAAGATAATTTAGATTCAGTCCAGCCATGAACTACTTTATTTTTCTCTTAAAACCCATCTCCCCTTGCCAACTTGAGATTTTGCTGGAGTTGGGGCCGCCTTGCTTGTGCTTTCTGGTTTGTTTCGTGTTATGTATCTTAATCCCTCTGGCTTAGGAAATGTGGCCCCTGAGCATGGGAGTGCCCCCGAGTACTATGACTTTTAAACATTATCAACTTTTTTCTCTTTTTTTTTTTTTTCTAAGTAGAAACTATAGTGAGGCTCGCTTTGTGTTTGTGTTTCCCTTTAAGAAATCTATGCTGTTGAAAGGGAAATTTAAATAATGCGTTACAAGCTGGTGCCATGGCTCAATAGGCTAGCCCTCTGCCTGCAGTGCTGGCACACGGGGTTCTAGTCCCAGTCGGGGCACCGGATTCTAGTCCCAGTTGCTCCTCTTCCAGTCCAGCTCTCTGCTGTGGCCCGGGAGGGCAGTGGAGGATGGCCCAAGTGCTTGGGCCCTGTACCTGCATGGGAGACCGGGAGAGGCACCTGGCTCCTGGCTTTGGATCAGCACAGCGCGCTGGCCGCAGCGGCCATTGGGGGGTGAACCAACAGAAAAGGAAGACCTTTTTCTCTGTCTCTCTTTCACTGTCCATTCTGCCTGTCAAAAAAAAAAAAAAAAGTTTTTTAAAAAAATAATGCGTTGGGCCGGCGCTGCGGCTCACTAGGCTAATCCTCCACCTTGTGGCGCCGGCACACCGCGTTCTAGTCCCAGTCGGGGCACCGGATTCTGTCCCGGTTGCCCCTCTTCCAAGCCAGCTCTCTGCTGTGGCCAGGGAGTGCAGTGGAGGATGGCCCGAGTACTTGGGCCCTGCACCCCATAGGAGACTAGGATAAGTACCTGGCTCCTGCCATTAGATCAGCGCGGTGCGCCGGCTGCAGCGCACCAGCCACGGCGGCCATTGGAGGGTGAACCAACGGCAAAGGAAGACCTTTCTCTCTGTCTCTCTCTCTCACTGTCTACTCTGCCTGTCAAAAAGAAAAAAAGAAAAAAAAAAGAAAAAGAAAAAAGAATAATGCGTTACAACCCATTGATCCAGTAGGAGGTGTTATTGGAGGGAATGGCAGCCCATGGGTCTGCACCGCCTCTCTGGAGGTCATGGGGAGGGTGCCTGGGGATTGGTGGGGGGGGGGGGGGGCCTGCTGCCTGCAGCTTCCTGAGGCTGCCTTCCGCTCCAGGGCATGCCACAGCCCTTCAGGCAGGTTTCAGGAAGAGAAGAAACACTGCCGTGTTAGACGCAAGGTGAGCCCGGTCACAGAAACAGGAACACGGCAGCGAAGAGGTATCTTAGGATCTTAGAATTGAAGACAGGGCAGGTGCACTGAGCCCTTCCCTGGAGCCGGCCATGGTGAGGTGGTGTCGGGGACAGCTGCAGAGGCAGCCCTTTCTGTGCCCATGGTCTAGACAGGGAGATGCTGGAGGCACGCAGAACAGCAGGGCCCAAGACTCCAGAAGAGAGAGTGAGGTGTTTGAAGGGCTTCCATCAGCGATCATGTCCCAGAGAACAGCCTGTCCTTGGCAGATCGTTCATGTTTCTTTTTCCAAGAAATGTGTTTCTGTTTGAAAAGCTTTGAGAGCAGCATGACCCAAGATGTCGAATCCCTCAGGTTTCATGATGCTGCCCACCACCTCCAGGGGACGCTGTGCACATGGTAGACTGCTGGGGTTGGCATGTGGCTGATCTGCCTACCCGGGTGTCCAGGTCCCTGAGGCTGTCACTTCTTACTACTACGAGAGCTCCCCAAGAAGTCTCTGCAGCCCATGCCCTCTATTGTGCCACAGACCACCTTCTCAGATGCCAGCAGGGCACCTCAGTCTCGCCTTTGCTCATCAGCCTTGTGTGTCCCCCACATCATCTGCACCCCCACCGCTGCCCAGTTCCTTTTCCACCACTGCTATCTACTTCCTCCACACCAGAGTCCAGGTGTGGCTGGCACTGGCCATCCTGTGGTCACAGAGTCCCTCCTGCGTGTCCTCTCTCATCTCTCTGGTCTATACACTTTGTCCCTCCCTCTGGGCACACACATTTCCTATGGTAGCAGCTTCTCTACCACCCCTGAGTGGCCCATGGTCCCTGACCACGTGTCTTCACCACCTTCCCTCTGCCCAGCAGCCAGGCCCCAGCCCAGGGCAGTGGAGGGCGGAGCCTACAGTCCTCTCATCCTCCCTGGAAAGACACCATACCTGTGGCAGTTTGTTCCCCCAGTAAATGGAAGACCTGGCAGCTGTGGCAGCAACTCAGCGTGATTGTGGGAAGTGAAAGGGTAGCCCATGTTCTGACAGATAGTGTTGCACTTTTGGACCTGACTCCGCCCTCCCTCCCATCACTCTCTCTTTCAGCCATAATGTGTGAGCCCCTGGCACATCCGGTGTGGATGCAGGGGCTGAAGGAGCAGCCAAAGCTGCATAGTGAGATCTTCATGGAACTTAGCCAGGCAGAAGCAGGCAGTCATGGGATCATTGCCATTTATTTTATTATAAACTGTGATAATTCCATGGAAGTCAAGCACAGGGGATCAGGAAGGCAGATTTTGGAGGAAATTGAGTGTGTGTGTGTGTGTGTGTGTGTGTGTGTAGGGTGCAGGAAAGACTTCCTTACGGCAGTCCTATTTGAGCCAAGAGCAGCAGCATGAGTGGGAGCCAGGGAGCCAAATTCCTTCAGTAGAACACGGGTTCTGAAATTGTGAGAGACTTTCCCAGTGCGTAGTAAATTACTAATTGCAAGACATAAAATCCCATTCAATTTAGTTTGAGTATATAGAGAGTTGTTAGATCACATTGGCTTCTGAGGGCAAGGAATAAAATTTCAGCTGGCCCCTGCATTGCAGCTGAGGCCTCCACTTCTCTGTCTCTTTCCATGTCTTTGCATCTCTCTCTGGCTCTCCTGTGTGTGTGTGTGTCTCCCATTTGTTTCTGTCTTTCACCCTTTCTCTGTCTTCTTCTCTCCCCAGCTCTTATCTCCCTTCATCATCAGTGGCGTGTCTGCAGCTGGGAGTATAGTCAAGGGTCCCCATGTTCTGGTCTGTAATGGCTTTTGAAGATGGTGGCATCACTTTCTAGCTTCATAGCAACTTTTAGTTGATGGTTTTCTGCTCTCAGGCTTTAATTGCAAACATATTCAACTTAAACCAGTCTATTTTTGAGTCCAAGCTGTCCCTGTTTTGCATGTCTACTTGAAATAAATGTGATACAGATAATCATGAAGACAAACTTGAGGCTGCTGGCTTGAATGTTAGTACATCTGAGAAGTCTTGCACAGACCTTACACAGGTCCCTTGGGAAGCCTGGAGCTCTGAGAAACTACAGGTTAACAATGGCCCGTGAAATCGATAGTTGATACCTGTTTAGCTTGGAACCATTGCTATGGCAGATTGCTTTTGAAGATTTATTTTTTATTTATTTGAAAGGCAGAGTTACAGAAAGTGGAGAGAGAGAGAGAAGAAAGAAAGAAATCAATCTTCCCTCACTGGTTCATTCCCAAAATGGCCACAATGGCTGGAGCTGGTCCAGGCCGAAGCCAGGAGCCAGGAGCTTCTTCCAGATTGCCCACATGTGGGTGCAGGGGCTCAAGCACTTGGACCATCTTCCTCTGTTTTCCCAGGTGCATTAACAGGGAGTTGGATTGGAAATGGAACAGCTGGGAATCAAACCCGTGCCCACATTGCATGCTGCCATTACAGGAGGCAGCTTAACCCTAAAAGCCACAATGTTGACCCCCTACTGTGGCAGATTTTTCACCACAGTCATCACTTCTACAGTAGCGAGTGTCCCCAGACTGTACTTTATTAATGATGTTTTGGGGTAAAATGCACTGTACATTATACAGACACAGTTGTCCCCTGATATCTGTGGGGGCCTGGTTCTAAGACACCCCAAAAGCCTTGGGTGCCAAAATCCATGGATGCCCAAGTCCCTTATATAAAATGATAGAGTATTTTTTTTTTTGACAGGCAGAGTGGATAGTGAGAGAGACAGAGAGAAAGGTCTTCCTTTTTGCCGTCGGTTCACCCTCCAATGGCCACCACAGCTGGCGTGCTGATCCAAAGGCAGGAGCCAGGTGCTTCTGCTGGTCTCCCATGGGGTGCAGGGCCCAAGCACTTGGGCCATCCTCCACTGCACTTCCTGGCCACAGCAGAGAGCTGGCCTGGAAGAGGGGCAACCGGGACAGAATCCGGTGCCCCGACTGGGACTAGAACCCGGTGTGCCTGCGCCGCGGGTGGAGGATTAGCCTAGTGAGCCGCGGCGCCGGCCTCCCCAGCTGTTTTCAATTCACAGTTGAACCCAGGGACCTTCCTGAGGCACAGTTTGTGGTCAGTCTCTGTAATTGGAATCTGGGAACATCTACTGCCAGGGTCCAGGCTCTTCAGTCTTGTTACCTTTGTCATCTTGCTTCTTGCATGTAAGCACACAGGACATCTCCTTCTAGACTGCCCAGAATTTGCAGGCAGCACACAGAGAATGGTGCCTTTAATTTCCCTCCCGTCCGTTCCAGGCTGCCCCTCTACCTGGCCTCGCTCGTCATCAGCCTTGTCTTCCTCCTGGTGAATCTGACCTGCGCTGTGCTGGTGAAGACAGGAACCTGGGAGAGGAAGGTGATCGTCTCCGTGCGAGTGGCCATCAACGACACGCTGTTCGTGCTATGTGCCGTCTCTCTCTCCATCTGCCTCTACAAAATCTCCAAGATGTCCTTGGCCAACATTTATTTGGAGTCCAAGGTAGGGGGAGAAGTGGTCAAGGTCCCTCCCATGAAACTTGTCAAAATCCTGTCATTTCCTGGTTTGCAAGCAAACAAGACACAGCCCACCTCCTTTGCATTTGACCTCTTATTAATGATTAGCTGAACTGTGAACGCCAAAACACAGCAGTATGTTGTTCATTGACCTTTGTGTTCCAGAAGGCTTCCATTCCAGATGGCCTAACGGGTATGCACAACTACTGGCAGAGAGTAATGTCTCTGGCTTATATATGCAATAATTTCACCCACATTTTAAAGGAGCCGTAGACTTGATTGGCCCTGTGTTAATGGCGAGCACATATCTAGCGTTGACTGCATTCTAGGCACTTCATGAGCCCTTTAAGTGTATAAATTAATGTCATCCTCATGACTCCATGGGAGTAGGTAGTATTGTAATGCCTGCTTTATTTTATTTTTTTGACAGGTAGAGTGGATAGTGAGAGAGAGAGACAGAGAGAAAGGTCTTCCTTTTGCCGTTGGTTCACCCTCCAGTGGCCGCCGCTGCCGGCGCACTGCAGACAGTTCATCGCGCTGATCTGAAGCCAGGAGCCAGGTGCTTCTCCTGGTCTCCCATGTGGGTGCAGGGCCCAAGCACTTGGGCCATCCTCCACTGCACTCCCTGGCCACAGCAGAGAGCTGGCCTGGAAGAGGGGCAACCAGGACAGAATTCAGTGCCCCGACTGGGACTAGAACCCAGTGTGCTGGCGCCGCAAGGCGGAGGATTAGCCTATTGAGCCGCGGCGCCGGCCTTACTGCCCGCTTTATAGATAAGAACGTGGAGGCACAAAGAGGCCAAGCTGCTGGCCCCAGCTACTTGCTGGAAAGGTGAGATTCATGGCGGGCACCAGGCACCGGGGGCTGTGCCCATCAACCCATGGTACTGCTGTGGGCCCGCCTTGAGGCTCGTGCTGTGACCCACTGTGCCCTGGAGCAGATTCTCCTTTGCAGGAGCAGCTGCTCCCAGAGTTAAGGACATTCCTGCCTTGGTGCCTGGAACCAGACGTGCTGGGAGAGGCAGATCCTGGCCCTTTTCTTTCATGGCCTTCCCTCACAGCCTATAGAATCTCTGTGTTCCCCTTTCCTGTGCCCAGAATTACAAAGAAGGGCAAATCAGCAAATGTGCTATGGTACCTGGTTGCTTCTGATCAGCCCAGTCGGCTGACTCTCCCTTCGTTGATGCGTTCCTAGCCTGAGCCCGGAGACCTGGGGTAGGAGCCAAGAGCAGCTCCTAGGGCCATCGCTGGCTGGGGACCTGGTGCTTCTACCCTTTGGTGCTGGTTCCATTGTCTCTCTCTCTGCCTTGGTTTCCTTACTTGTGAAACAGCTGAGTGAAATCTGCAGCTCCCGTGCTTCTAGAATTCAGTGGCTGTGTGCCCCATGGCCCAGCCCCTTGGCCACCCTTTGCCACGTGGTCCATCTGGCCATCACGTGTCGGAAGATGCCGGACGGACAGTCTCCCTCCCGTGATGATGTGTCTTCAGCAGTGATCAGCAGGTGAAATCTGTGCCTCTGCTTTCAGAAACAAAGACTTCATCAGGGCATCTGTGATTGAGATCAACTTAGAAATCCCAGAATTGACAGTGGCAGAGTGGTTTTTCATTGTTAAAATTTAGACTTGATTTTGCCTTATCTTTATTATGTTGCCTCCTCTCTTGGAGTTATTCAAGGCTTTTCAAAACAGAATTGCAGTTTTTAATGGAGGGATAAATCACGTATTGTCAAAATACCTTTTAGTTTAATTGTATGGCATACAGGCTAACAAAATTCATTTTGGTGGCAAAATAAAAGAATAACTTGGATTTGGTTAATGATTTCCAAACACAAAACCCAAAAAAAGTTTGTTTTCTGGTCATGTTAACTATCCATTTCTAGCTAGGGGGTCCTTTGCTTGACTTGGGAAATGGACAGTTTCATAAAGTAGAGCATTAACCACCGACCCCCTGTAATTCAGGCCAGGACTCGTGTACTCTCAGCCCAGAGCTCTGTGGGCAGCGTATCTGTCTCCCAGCCTCCGTCCCTCTGAGAGTGTTTGCTTAGCCCCCTGGGATACTGGCCTGGCCTGGGATCACCTGCCACGTGTACCAGCCAGAGCGTCCTCTTGCCGCTGAGCAGTGGCGGTTAGAGGTTTAACAAAATAAACCACGTCCTAGGGTCTGTGAATATATGATGATAACCTGAAATTTCAGGAAGTTGGGTGCATGCCCTGAGGCCGGCGAGGAGTGTCACACGGAAGGTCCTGTGAGACCGCATTGCCCCCGAGATCACAGGGGGCTCCCCAGGCCTAGTGGCCCACTCCTTCTGGCTTCCTCTTTTCCAGGGCTCCTCCGTGTGTCAAGTGACTGCCATCGGTGTCACCGTCATCCTGCTTTACACCTCCCGGGCCTGCTACAACCTGTTCATCCTTTCCTTTTCTCAGAACAAGAGCGTCCATTCCTTTGATTATGACTGGTACAATGTATCAGACCAGGTCAGTGGGGACTGTGCGCTTGGCAGCTTTCAGGGCAGCAGGCAGATGTGTGAGCTCCTTGTCCCGGCTGCTGCATGGCTGGGTGACCTTGGCAGAGTCACCTCCCTGTGTGGTATCTACATCCTCACTGGTCAGATGGGATCGCAGCATCTGCCTAGGTCCCATGTATGTCTTCTAGGAAAACTGGGGGAGTGTGTGTGTGAGTGTGTGTGTGTGTACTTTCTTGTAGACATGCATACACACACAGGGTACTTCAGAAAGTTCATGAAAAATGTAATTAAAGGTAAATTTATTTTGGTGCAAAAAATGTTTGAAATCCATATATGCAAAGGAGGGGCACTTAAATTTTTGTGAAGATGGGGATTATGAAAAAAAAGTGTACATAGATTTGAAAAGTTTTTTGTACCAAAAATTAACTTACTTTAAAAAAAATAAACCATCCACTGGTTTATTCCTCAAATGGCCGCAACAGCTAGGTCTGGAAGCTAAGAACCAGGAATTCTGTCTGGGTCTACCACCTAGGTGACAGGGGCCCAACTACCTGGGCTGTGTTTCAGTGCCTTGCCAGATGCATTAGCAGGGAGTTGGGTCAGAAGCAAACCAGCTGGGACTCAAACTGGCACTTCAGTGTGGAATATGGCATCCCCAGTGGCAGCTCAACCCACTGTACCACAATGCTGACCCCAAATTTATCTTTCTTTAAAAAAAAGATTTATTTTATTTACTGGAAAGGCACAATTACAGAAAGACACACACACACACACACACACACACACACAGAGCGAGATGTTCCATCTGCTGGTTTACTCCCCAAATGGCCTCAACAGCCAGGGCTGGGCCAGACCAGAGCCAGGAGCTTCCTCCAGGTCTCCCATGTGGGTGCAGGGGCCCATGGATTTGGGCCATCCTCTGCTACCTTCCCAGGCACATTAACAGGGAGCTTGATCAGAAGTGGAGCAGCCAGGACTTGAACCTGTGACCATATGGGCCGCCAGTGTTGCAGGCAGAGGCTTTACCCGCTATGCCACAATGCCATCCCCGCCCCCCACCAATCTTTTATTTTATTTTTTTTTATTTTTTTGACAGGCAGAGTGGACAGTGAGAGACAGAGAGAAAGGTCTTCCTTTGCCGTTGGTTCACCCTCCAATGGCCGCCGCTGCCGGCGCACTGCGCTGATCCGATGGCAGGAGCCAGGTACTTATCCTGGTCTCCCATGGGGTTCAGGGCCCAAGCACTTGGGCCATCCTCCACTGCACTCCCAGGCCACAGCAGAGAGCTGGCCTGGAAGAGGGGCAACTGGGACAGAATCCGGTGCCCCGACCGGGACTAGAACCCGGTGTGCCGGCGCCGCAAGGCAGAGGATTAGCCTAGTGAGCCGCGGCGCCGGCCCCAATCTTTTAATTCAGATTTTCCATGAACATTTTGAAGTACCATTAGATGTACAAATACATATGCAAATGTATATATACACACTTCATTTCTTGCCTCCATAGGGATTCTTGTCAAGCAGTACTTAAATCTTTTTAATGCTTCAATATAAATGTGAGATGGCATTTAAATGGTGAAATTTGCAGATTAGGTAAATTATATTTAGGTTTCAGGAAATACATAAAACTATGACATTCCAGATTTTATTTTAACGGAACATGTAGGCAGCATTTAGGAAAATCTAGACAGAAGTGCCTGAGGATATTAAAGTTGTAGAAAAAGCTCATTGTACCAGTGGTCTCATGATTCTCTCTCTTAAAAATACACTTGTAAATTATAAAGCAGATGAAAGGGTAGTGAAATGTCATCAGGCACGCATGCTTACAAAAGCTGAAAATGAAAAATGAGACTGAACTGGAATAAAAAAGGTCACATGAACTCATTTGACAAATATCAACCTTTTTTGGTCTCAGGCATTGTGCAAAGTACTGGGAATTAAAAAAAAAAAAAAAAAAAAAAACTTATTCTTTGCCCTGTGGTAGTTCATGGACCATTGATGAAGAGAAGAGACATATGGATAAGGCATGAATTACATGTAATTTCTCTAATATTAATCTGTATTGATTTGAAAAATATTGAATATCTAACTATATGTGAGTATAGTCCACTTTAAAATTCCCAACAGTGGCAGACCTTGTGGTACAGTGGGTTAAGGCACTGCTTGGGTTTCTTGCATCCTGTATCAGAGTGCTGGCATCAAGTCCTCTCTCTGCTTTCAATCAAGCTTCTTGCTAATGCACCTGAGTGGCATCAGGTGCTGCCGAAAGTACTTGGGTCTCTGCCTGCACGTGGGACACCTGAACACAGTTCTTAGCTCCTGGCTTTGGCCTGCCCTAGCCATAGCTATAGCAGGTATTTGGAGGAGTGGACCAATGGATGAAAGTGCCCTCTCTCTATATATATATTTCTGTGTGTTTGTTTCTCCTGCTCTCTCTGTTGCTCTGCCTTTCAAGAATACAAACAAATCTTTAAAAAAAAATTAAAAATTCCAACAGTGCTTTAAGACAGCGGAAAAAAGGATAAAAGTGCTGGTAATGAGCTAAACCTGTGAATACAAGGTGACATTCACTAGGGGCACATGCAAAGTGTTCTGACTAGAAAGGATGAAAGCAACAGCAGTAGGGGCCAGCTCTGGGGCATACAGGTAAAGGTGCTGCCTGCAGTGCCAGAGCCCCATATGGGTGGCTGTTCAAGTCCTGGCTGCTCCTCTTCCGATCTAACTCTCTGCTGTGGCCTGGGAAAGCAGTAGAAGATGGCCCAAGTCCTTGGGCCCCTGCATCCATGTGGGAGACCCGGAAGAAGCTCCTGGCTCCTGGCTTCGGATTGGCGCAGCTCTAGCCATTGCGGCCATCTGGGGAATGAACCAGCAGATGGAAGACACCTCTCTCTCTCTCTGTCTCTGTCTCCACCTCTCTCTGTAACTCAAATAAATAAAATAAATCTTTATAAAAAAAAATAAAGAAGTGGTCAATGCATTGAAAGACAGAAAGCCTTGCCCACCTATTTATCCTCTCCATGATCGTTAGAAAAGTGAGAATGCTGAAGAAGCCCAAGTTTGAGTTGGGAAGACTCATGGAGCTTCATGGTGACGTTCTGGAAAGCCACTGGGAATGTGACAGTTGCTAAAGTTGAATGAGCTGATGGATATGAACCAGCAGTCCAAGAACCTGTTTAAAATTTAGACTTTAATAGTGACAAAAAGTACTGTATGTGAAAAAAAAAATGACCACAGGGTTGGGGTTTTTTTTTTGTTTTTTCAGATTTATTTTTTTTGAAAGAGTAAGAGAGAGAGAGATTGATCTTCCATGTGCTGGTTCACTTCCCAAATGGGTTCTGTTTAGTGATGGGCCACTTAAAGTTTTCGCACATCCTCTTTGTTCCAAATGGTGACCTCTCTGTTAGGGTTGCCCAAACCCAGCAGTGCCCTTTCTCTGCTGCCTTCTTTGGAAGGGAGGAGGGAACACGACTTCACCAGGCCCACTTGGCCAGTTCGCTGGGCCACAGCCAAACACCCTGCACTCTCAGGACTTTTTCACAGGAAGTTTTGAAGAGTCAAGAACAAGACATGGTTTGTGTGAAGAGAAGGTTAGAAATTGGCATGCTTATCCTCAGGTCGCAACTAAGGGAGACTAATTTTTGTTGCTGTAAAGAACTTAGGAGGAGGTGGTAAAGTAACATTCTCTTCAGGTGTTGGAGGGAAAAAAATTAGCTTAGGTTTAAGGGAGAGGAAGGGAGTTTGGCCATAAGGAAGAGTTTGTGGCAGTGACATAGTAACACGTCGGACATGGGGAGTTTCTTTGAATATTTAGGAAAAAACTTGTCTACCCTACATGGTTTAAAGACTGTGCCCCAAAACACACATGCCTGAGGTCTAGACCATTATTGTACCTGGTTTCAGGGAGAAGGAAACATTTCAAGTGAATCCATGTTCATGTCGGAATCAGTTAGGACCTCTCTGCCGTGGTCTGTGACTCCCTTGCTCCCTTTCACAGGCAGATCTGAAGAACCAGCTGGGAGATGCCGGATACGTAGTGTTTGGAGTGGTGCTTTTCCTGTGGGAGCTCTTACCCACCACCCTGGTAGTCTACTTCTTCCGAGTTAGGAATCCTACAAAGGACCTCGTGAGTAAACCATTTTATATTTGCAGCAAATACCTCCTAATTCTGTCATGAAACTTGACGGTTAGCAGTTTTCTTAGCTTTTCAATAGGGAAGAGGGCCTCTTCCATCCTTTTGTTGTTGTTTTTTTTTTTAATGTTGAACTTTTTTTTTTTTTTTTGACAGATAGAGTTAGAGAGAGAGACAGAGAGAAAGGTCTTCCTTCTGTTGGTTCACCCCCAAATGGCCGCTGCGGCCAGAACTATGCCGATCCGAAGCCAGGAGCCAGGTGCTTCCTCCTGGTCTTCCGTGCGGGTGCAGGGCCCAAGCACTTGGGCCATCCTCCACTGCCTTCCTGGGCCACAGCAGAGAGCTGGACTGGAAGAGGAGCAACTGGGACAGAATCCAGCGCCCATATGGGATGCTGGCGCTGCAGGTGGAGGATTAGCCTAGTGAGCCACGGCGCCGGCCCCCATCCTTTTGTGATAGCAATCGTTCCCTTGGCTATTTTCTTGAGATTTTCTTTGTCTCTTACTTCTGTTTTCAGGGTGATGTGTTTTTCAGTTTAGCTTTATTTTACAAAAGCTGTGATTTTACAAAAGAAATGAAAGCAGCTTGCATCCCAAGGTCTGGGGAAAAGTGAAGAACTTCTTTCCTTAATAAACACAGCTTCACTCCTATTTGAGCCTTGACTTGCTGTGATCCAAATGGGTAAGTTTTTCTTTTAGCAAAGGAAAATAAGAAAGAATGGTAATTCCACTTCTACAGTATCCCAGATGGAAATTAGAGGATGGGAAGGTAGATGAATAAAAATGTTGGGAAGGATGTGAAAGCTACTTCTCTGGTGGGTCACATTTCTACTCAAACAACTGTATCTAAATGTCTTCATGGGAGCAGAACAGAAAATGCAAAACCAGGTACAGTTTGCTCCATAGCTTATTCGAACCACAAAAACTAGTGGTAGGATTTTGACTCATTGATTATGAAACCCGAAGAAAAGTACATGAGTAGATTTGGGCTTGACCAGTGGGCCCTTGAATAGAGAATAGCAGTGGCCCAGGCTGAAGCCACGATGAAATCCAGCATCGTTTTCTGGATGGCAGGGTCACATTCCTCCCTTTTCATTCTTTGTAGTGGTGGGTAGTATTCTCACACCTTTTATGACTTTGCCTGCATTGGGACTTCCCGGAGGCTTCAGAAAGTCAGACCTTGAATACTTCCTCGTGTTGCCAAAGAAACAAGGAAAAGGTGGCAGTGGATTCTAGGCCGGGTCTGGTTGCCGTGTGTTTCTTCTCTGAAGAAAGAGAGCTGAAGTTTCTGGCAACCTTGTTTGGCTAAGGGAATAGATTGTTCTGAGCAAAACTCCCAGTGCTCATTGAGGCCTTCGCGGGGCTCTCCATGGGCCTTCTCATCACTGCTTGGTTTTCATCATTTAGAGCTGCGATATTCCAGTGCTGTTGGAACTACACTCCCTAAACCAAGGCAGTCTGAGGGAGAGATTACACAAGGAGTCTTCAAAAAGTTATGGAAGACACATACTATGAAAAAAAATGCATGTATTTCAATAATTTTGCACCAAAATAAGCATTTCTTAATTCCATTTTCCATAAACTTTTTGAAGTATCCTTAAGTATCTGAACCCAAGGGGGTGACCGATTAATGTGATGCCGTTCAAAGCACTGTTTTATTAAATGAATGCAGAATAACACTGATAGTCTAATTCATACTATTGAATCTCATTATTCAGAGAAACATGTCATCTTTCAGACATTCTTATGTACAGACTTACATGGCTACTGTGTCTGAATGGATCTACTGTTTATGGTGTTATTAAGAGCAGTGGTCCTCAATTTTTTTGATTAGAGGATACTTTACATCCAAATTATTGACGACTCCCAAAAAGTGTTTCTCTGGAGGCTATGTATGTGGGTGTGCATATCACATTAGAAACTAAAACAGAAATTTAAAAATATTTTGTCATTAAAAATAATAAACTACTAGATATTACCCTAAAATTTCTATGAAAAATAACTGATTTTCCAAAACAAAGTAAGTTAATATGAAAATGGTATTGTTTCACAATTTTGTGTTATCTTTTTACTATTTGGCTAAAGAGAAGCTAGCTGGATTCTCCTGACTCTGCACCCAGTCTGTCATGGTATGTTGCTGGTGTTGAAGTATATGAAGAAAACCTAGCCTCATACACAGTTGCAAGAAAGAGTGTTTTAATAGCCTCCTAACATAATTCTTTTACACCACACCCAAACTCAACAGATGTGGTTTTCTTAAAAGTTACAATATGGAATCTAAAATCATATTGATAAACTTTCTAGATCGATTGATTAAACTCCATTGGGTTATATTGTACTTTGAACTGATCTTTTACCTATGCATGGTTTTATAATAGCATGCATTGGTCATTTGGAAAATAGTAGGTTACTGAATTTAGTGGATCTTCCAAATGCTTTCATTATACAACACTCCCATCCCCCAATCTCAATCAGTGTCACCACAATCTCATCATAAAATTCTTTACATATTGGAAGCTGTCAGGGTCATGGAAGTGTGTGCAGGTTTTCTTTTCTTTTTCTTTTTTTTTTTTTTTTTAAGATTTATTTATTTGAAAGAGCTACAAAGAGAGGTAGAGACAGAGAGGTCTTCCATCTGTTGGTTCACTCCCCAGATGGCTGCAACGGCCAGAGCTGCGCTGATCCGAAGCCAGGAGCTTCTTCTGCGTTTCCCACAAGAGTGCACAAGGGCTTGGGCCATCTTCTACTGCTGTCCCAGGCCACAGCAGAGAGCTGGATCGGAAGTGGAACAGCTGGGACTAGAACTGGCACCCATATGAGATGCCGGCGCTTCAGGCCAGGACTTTAACCCACTGTGCCACAGTGCTGGCCCTGTGTGTGCAGGTTTTCTAAACCTTTACTTTTTGCTCAAAAGCTCAAATCTTATCAGTGGTAACAAATGCTGTCATTCATTTTCCTTGAAGTGACAGCTCATTTCATTCATGTTTGAAAAAGTGTCTGCCAATTACCCAAGTCTGAATAATATGGTTAGTCTAAGTAAAGATACAGCTGCATGAAATAAGGAACAACTCAGTTGTAGAAGCTGTTCTCAAACAGCCATCTTACAGCAGAAGTGCTTTATGCAGAATTCCATTGTTAAATAATTAATTAAAAAGATGGGCTCAGAGGTTGAGATTTAATGAAATTAATTTTATTGCTTATTCAAGGACATTCTTAAGTAAGGCTGTCTTCTCTTTGAAACTGTATGTGCTGGTGAAAAAAATAAGTAACTGCTCGCACAGTTGGTGCCCCTGCTTGGATCTGTGCTAAAGCAGCAGTTTTACTCATCATCATTTGTGCAAATGTTGACAGGGTAGAAGTCTTACTCTTTGTGAACAGTTATGACTTTATCCCTGAAAGGACTGCAAGGACTTCTGAGGGTCTCTGGATCACATTGATAACTGCCCGTCTACAGTAACATATTACTGAATTAAAGTGGTCCATTTTGCCCTGTAGGATATTTTTATCTCATTTATGATGGAGTGAATTCAGTGTGAGGGATACATCATCATTAATTAAAAAGACATTTTCCCATTTGCATATTACTTTCGTGAAGGAGCTCATTAGCAAGTTATTTGGATTAACAAATTGTCTTGAAACTAGGTGGTCATAAAATATCCTTGGGCAAGACTGCCAGAGTGTATATTATTGTTGCATAAAGAATTTGGTAAACATAGCTAACAATTATGTAGCATCTAAGCATGTTAGATACTTCTAAGCACTTTTATTTATTTATTTTTATTATTTATTTGACAGGTAGAGTTACAGACAGTGGGAGAGACAGACAGAAAGGTCTTCCTTCCGTTGGTTCACTCTCCAAGTGGTCGCAACGGCCAGAGCTGTACCAATCTGAAGCCAGGAGTCAGGTGCTTCTTCCTGGTCTCCCATGTGTGTGCAGGGGCCCAAGCACTTGGGCCATCCTCCACTGCTATCCCAGGCCACAGCAGAGAGCTGGACTGGAAGAGGAGCAACCAGGACTAGAACAGGTGCCCACATGGGGTGCCGGCGCCGCAGGCGGAAGATTAACCTAGTGCGCCATGGCGCCAGCCCCTCTAAGCACGTTAAATAGGTTTTTTAATCCTGACAATATTCCTATAAAGTGGAAACTGTTATTGTATCCATTCTTAGATGAGGAAGCAGAGCTTAATGTCCTGTGGCTGGCAGAGACACAGCCAGGTTTCAGACCAAGGCAGTGTGGCACCAGAGTTCATGCTTTAATTGCTGTTACAAGGGTGGCTTTCTCTGGCATCATACAGTTTGGAGAAGAAAGTTTAGTCTGCATGACTTAGTTCTATACTCTCTCTATCACCTGTATAATTGCTGGAGAAAAATCTTTCTTTATGGGGAAATTTATAATGCAGCTCCTACACATTGGCTTTGAATGGCACACTGCATGTGGGGTATTTCTTGAAAATGTTATCTACCATTTGTATTCAGAATTCATTTGGTAAAAACAAGTCTTTAAACTCAGCCTCACTAGAGAGCCACACTGCAGATGCATGTAACAGTATGTTCAAAGCTTGGCTCTCTCCATCCACATCAGAATCCTGCAAAGGGCTTCATGCAACTGTACATTCCTAGGCCACGTTCAGGACCCAGATCAGAATCTCTGGGGTAGGTTCTGGGAATGCACATTTTTAACAAACACCCAAGATGACTTGAATGCACCATGAAATTTGAGAGTTGTTTTTTAAAAAGATTTATTTATTCATTTGAAAGGCAGAGTTACAGAGAGGCAGAGGCAGAGAGAGAGAGAGAGAGAGAGAGAGAGAGAGAGAGGTCTTTCACATGCTGGTTCATTCCCCAGATGGCTGCAATGGCCAGAACTGGGCCAGGTCAAACCCAGGAGCCAGGAGCTTCTTCTGGGTCTCCCACATGGGTGCAGGGGTCCAAGGACTTGGGCCATCTTCCACTGCTTTCCCAGGTCACAGCAGAGAGCTGGATCAGAAGTGCGGCAGCTGGGAATCGAACCGGTGCCCATATGGGATGCTGGCACTGCAGGCAGTAGTCTTACCCACCACATCACAACGTTGGCTTCTCTTTTCCCTTTCTAAACTGGGTTAACTTTTTATGACTTAATTTTAACAGTTCTTTTAGATATGCCAGATACATGATTTGTAAATCTTTTCTTCCATTCTGTGGCTGTCTTTTTACTTTCATGATGGTATCCTTTGAAGCACATTTTAAATTTTGATGAGGTCTAGCTTATGTTGTTGCTCATGCATTTTGGAGTCACATCTAAGAATCTCCTGCCAGATCCTGTACTTGCCCCTGAAAACTTGCCCCGATATTTTCTTCTAAGAGTTTCATATTTTGTGGGTCTTAAAAGCCTATTTTGAATTTTTTAAGATTTTCTTATTTATTATTTGAAAGGTAGAGTTAGAGAGGAGAGAGAGGGAGAGAGGAAGGCAGGGAGGGAGGGGGAGGGGGGAGGGAGAGAGGGAGAGAGAGAGAGATCTTCCATCCGCTGGTGTTCGCTCCCAAATGGCTGCAACGGCCGGAGCTGGGCCAGTCCGAAGTCAAGAGCCAGGAGCTTTTTCTAGGTCTCCCATGCAGGTGCAGGGGCCCAAGCTCTTGAGCCATCTTCCACTGAATTCCCAGGCCATTGCAGGGAGCTGGATCACAAGTGGAGTAGCCAGGACTGAAACTGGCGCCCATATGGGATGCCAGGACTGCAGGCGGCAGCTTTACCTGCTATACCACAGCGCCAGTACATGGTGTAAGATAGGATCCAACTTCATTCTTATGTATGAGGTTCACAGACATTTTTGAGTAAATTTTAAGGCATCTCACCTTGCATAAGTTCCCCTTTGTTCCTTACATTTGTTTAATCTGGGAAAAGCAGGAATTCACCTATCATTTCTCATCTTATGGCAACTTCATTTCAAACACTGTTGGTTGCTGTTTCAAAAGCCGCACTAGTGATATGTACAAGGATTTCAAACGCTGTGCCAGAATCATTTTATTTTAAAGTCTAGTTCTGATCATCTGTTTATATGAATCTTTCCTGCCACAGGGGACTTTACTTTTTTAGTAGTTGCTGGCAGAGCCACAGCAGTTGCCCCAGGACAGGTGTGATCTTGAAAGCAGGCAAGAACATCTATGGTTTACTTGAGACCAGTCATAGGAAACTTTTTGAGAGGAGCTCAGGGTGCACAGGCAGAATGAAATGATGATAGAGGCAGGAGAGGAAAGCAGGATGAGAAAAATGTCCCAAAGGATTTCAACATCATTATTGTAGTGTTATGAATGCCCACAGGATACAGATTTATATAAAACGGGGCTACTTTAGTTTGGCTCATTTGAGAATTGTCTGGCTTTTCAGTAAAAGACTGAAACGAGGATGATTCCCTGTTAAAAGATGGGGATAGAAGATTTTGTCAGTACAGAAAAAGGGAAAGGTTAATCTCTTTTCAACACAGAAGCAACTGAAATGAACATTGCAGCCAAATAGGTGCAGCCCTCAGCCAGAGGAGGAAAGTATCTTTAGTCTTCTGCAAGAAAGATCGTATGACAGTCTTCATCATGTGAGAGGCACAGTGTTGGCAAGTATGCTGAATGATTACCTGTCTTCATAGACCAACCCTGGAATGGTCCCCAGCCACGGGTTCAGCCCCAGATCTTATTTCTTCGACAACCCTCGACGATATGACAGTGATGATGATCTTGCTTGGAACATTGCCCCTCAGGGACTTCAGGGAAGGTAAGACCTTAAGTCACGTTAGAGAAGCCTTGTTCAGGAAGGAGAAGGCTGTATTAAAGCAATTGATTGATTAAAACTAAAACTCCTACATAAAAACCCTGCATTTGGAGGTAGTCTAAGACTGGTTGGCAACAGTGTTTCAGTTTACTCAGGTGAAGCATTTCTGAATGGGATAGGACTGATACTGAAATTTAAATAACCCAATGGCATTATACAGTGTCCCCTAAATGATATTCTGTGAAGTTCTATTTTCTTTCTTTCTCTCTTTCTTTCTTTGACAGGCAGAGTTAGAGAGAAAGGTCTTCTTTTTCCATTGGTTCACCCCCAAAATGGCCGCAGACAGAGGATTAGCCAAGTGAGCCACAGTGCCAGCCAAGTTCTATTTTCTTAATAGCTATACCACAAAGAAGGAAATGATGACTTGAAAATCACCATTTTTTAGATTGCAGGATTTCTCCAAGCCTATAATAGGATAATATGCACTCTGACTCTCCAAGAGGGAAACAGAGCACTAGACCATGCAGTCACTCTGCGGAACATGATTTCGGAAATCCAGGCAGAGGTCCTTAATCAGATGCTCTAAAGCCAGAGAATAAACTCAAATAGTATTCTTTTATTGGATGAAATTTTCAATTTTTAATGTCAGTTCTTAATTGAATATTTCATTTAAATGAAGTATATTCATTTCAGTCTTTAGATGACTACTTAAGAAATATTACATGGCACCTGCTGTGTGTTTCACACTCGTTTAAGAGGTTCACAAGCATTTTACTCTTCATGAGACTCCTGTGAGGTCAGTACTTCAGGCCTCACATCTCAGATGAAACCAGGGCATCTGGAGGTTGGGGGACTTGTACCCAGTCGCACAGCTAGTCAGTGCTTAGGCTGGGACCTGGCACAGGCAGCCTCATTTCAAGTCATGCTAAGAGTTTATGAATCAGTACCCCATCTCCTAGCCTCACGCTTATGCTCTGCTCTCCTATGGGTTTTAATAGCATCTCCTTTCTTGAAAATCTACTTGCAGATTTGGGCCAGAATATTTTGAGTAGGGCAGTTAAATAAAGAGCTCAAACCAGCATACACAGAGTGTGCAAGACAGTAAATGAGCTCCCAATTCAGCCTCCATCAGCCACTCTTCAGTGAGTTGGGAAGGCAAATAGAAACAGGAGGGAAGTACCCAAGTATGTGAGACTAACTGCAACCACAGCACTCACCCATCCAGCAGTGGAGATTTGCTTGCTTTGGCCACTGCATGGTCTGAAAACAGGGAGGTGCGAGCTATTGGGATCCCCATTCCATTTCTTCTTTTTAAAAGATTTTCTTGTTATTTATTTGAAAGAGTTAGAGATAGAGAATTATCTTCCACCTACTAGTTCACTCCTCAGACAGCTGCAAAGGCCAAGGCTGGGCCAGGCTGAAACCAGGAGTCAGGAGCTGCTTCTACGTCTCCCATGTTGTGGCAGGGGCGTAAGGACTGGGCCATTTTCCACTGCTTTCTCAGGCCATCGGTAGGGAGCTACATTGCAAGTGGAGCAGCTGGGACACGAACCTACCAGTGCCCAAATGGCAGCTTAATCTGCTGTGTCACAACACGTTCCACCCCTTCTTTAGCCTGAGTGCTTCAGCCACACATGACTGCAGGGATCAGATGCCTTCTGTTTCCACCTGTGAACCTGGGCCTGTAAGGTCATCAAGGCCAGCAGGGGCCAGCTGAGCCTAAAGGACTGACCTGGTGCTTGCCAGGCCTCCTCTCTTGCTTGTCATCCCAGGACTCCTGTCCTGTTCTAGGGAAAGGGGAGCTTCTTAGAAGGGAAGCACTTACGCCATCCTTTCATTTACATTGTAATAGAAACCTTTTTCCTCTTGGGGGGGAAGTAATAAAAGAGAAATATAACTTTTTATAACTATAGTCAAAGTCCTTAGAAACCCCTTGAAGAGCTCTGAAAAGAGCCCTTGTTTTGGGGGCAGGAGAACTGAAGAAGAGCTGGGAGACCACATTGTGTTTCTGGTGGACCAGGGAGGATGGGCTGGCAGTCAGGAAAAAAAGACTGCCCAACCCTAGGCCAGTGAGACTGAAGGACCCCATCAGCAAGGGGGACAGTGAACAAGGACCACCTCAGGTCAGAAGTCACCCTTCGACCTTCCTGAGGTCACGCAGATTCTGAGCTCACTCCTTCCCTAAAAGTCTTCTCATACCCAGCTACTCTATTGCATTTCCTGTCCACTGTTTGCCATACCATGCTGCAGCAGGCCTACCCTCTAACTTGCCAGGGGGCATTTGAGAGCTCAGAGAGTCCTCACCACCTCCAGGTCTACATGGAGGACAATGATAAACAACTGGCAAGTACTGAGTGCCAATTACAAGTATTAGATGTGGTTCTAAGCACTTCACAGGTACTAATTTACTTTGTCCCCACAGCAGCCCAACAAGATTGCTACTGATAATACCCTCAATCTCCAGATGTGGAAATTGAGGTACAGAAGTTATTTGCCTAGACACACAGATTGTGAACTATACTCTTTAGGATTAAAAAACAATTTGTTGCCAAAATATGTGCTACACATGGTGTGACTGATTTAAGGTTCTAGTAGTACCACACTTCTGGGCTCTATAGAGTTCAGTAGAACTGAGTAGGCTTCTAGCGACGTGCTTAGCACTGTTTTGTGGGAAAAGGCACAAAGAACTTTGGGATTATCTACATTTAAGAGAAAATCCCAACCTTTGTCCTTAATGAGTCGTATAAGAATTAACTGCAAAACTTGTTCTCAAACTGTACTTTATATGTTGCTTGTGTGTGGGGGGGTGCAAACTGTTGAAATCTGTACATAGCATAGAGTTGGTCCTCTGTATATAAAGTTAAACTAAAAATGAACCATAATGAAGAAGGGGATGGGAGAGGGAGTAGGAAGTGGGACAGGAGTTGGGGTAGGAGGGCAGGTATGAAGGAAAGAACCACTATTTTCCTAAAGTTGTACCTATGAAAAATGCATTCATTAAATAAAAGCTTTTTTAATAAAAGAGAATCCCAGTTCTATCTACAAACCAGCTGTATCAGACATAGTATAATGTTTCAAGCCACTGAATTTTTTTTTTCTTTTTCAGTTTTGCTCCAGACTACTTTGATTGGGGACAACAAACGAACAGCTTCCTGGCACCAGTAGGAACTTTGCATCAAGACTCCACTTTGGATCCTGACAAACCAAGCCATGGGTAGCACTGGTTAACAATTTTATGGAAGATTCCTCAGCTAAAAAGCTTCAGAAAGACAAACTTCATGACAACTGAACGTTTAGGGCACTTTTCCATAAGAAACGAGACTTAATGTTTATTTGTTATAAGTTTCTAATGGCTCCATAGGACTAAGCAATAATTTAGATTGATAAACTCTTTTTAGTACTAAAAAGTGAGCCTGTTTCAATGGGTATAATTTAAACTTTTTAAAGAAAACCTGTACTTTTATAAAGATGTATTTTATATAACTTAAAATAATAGTGCTAAAGTATACTAGAGTTTTTCCTTGAGAATGTTATTACAATATATGTTGTAGTTTGCACAGACTTTTATGCATAATTCACTTTAAAAGTATAGATGATATTGTCTAACAGTTTTTAAGGCTTTTGGACTAAAGTATTCCTCCAATTCTTACCTCTCAAGGTCACTTAGATTTAGAGCTCCACATCGGTCGACTCCTAAATACAGCTGAAATCCAGAAAGCTAATTGCAGCTCCAATGTTGAAAGTTAAAATGAAATGGAGTAATAACAGACTATAAGATAACTAGCTCTGTAGAGTTTCTGTAAGGTCTGGTAGCTGGTCCTTCAAAGAATCTCTCTTTTAATTTAAAAAAAAAATTTTTTTTTAAACTTGAGAAGTAGAGAGGAAGGGATAGCGAGGGTACTCTAACCTACTGGTTCATTCTCCAAATGCAGTGGCTCAGAGGCTAAAGCTGGGAGCCAAGAACTCAATCCAGGTCTCCTGTGTGTGTGGCAAGAATCTAATCACTTGAGCCATTACCACTGCCTCCCAGGGTTCATATTAGCAACTGGATTTCTGGAGCTGGAGCCAGGCAGTCTGATGTGTGATGTCCTAACCAGCATCTTAACAGCTAGGCCAAATGCCTACCCCAAAGCATCTCTTAAATTCTGCCAAAAGTCTGGTACTTTGTTTGAATCAGGCACTAATGTATACACTGCAATAACAAGCTGATAATGTTAAGAATGTACCTGACATACTATTAAACCTCTCCTGCTATATTCATAGATTTTGCACAGTTTTTTCAGCCCAATAAAAATCTAATATTCATTACCTCAGGATTACAGCATTATACCTTTCCCAACTCACTGAATGTTCATTACATTCAAAGAAAAAAATGTAGTTCCAAACAGGGCACTAACAGTAAATGCCTCTAGTCTGTGAGCCAAAAAAAAAAAACGCTATGTGGAATCTTAATAGTGTTTTCTGTAATCTCCAACCATATTTATAATAATGATTTTTAAATGGCTATATAAACAGCTTTTGGAAGCTGCCTGTTTAAAATGTCAGTAACTTTGCAGTATTCTTTAGCATAATGCCTATGTCTTATCCATGTAGAGGTGCATGTTCCAGACAATTGCTTTGATGTCATCTTTCATTCAAGTGAAAGACATGTCATGAAATACTACTGCCCAGAACAAAAGTGCTGTTCTGAAATCTCCACTGTGTAAGTTTGAAGCCATAAAACCCTGCCTGCCAGAAGGTTAGATGTTCTGATTTTCCACAACAGATAAAGATCTAGAGGAAGTACTATTACCAAAGAGAAGGTGCCATACTGCCTTGCTTTAGGAAATCTCATTTTGGGACACAGGAAAGGAACTTGAATTAACAAGTCTGACGTACATCATGTACCTTATTTCAAATGTCTTGCTTTCCATTTTGGTCTTCAGGAATAATTGATCTCTGGGCAATGATTTCACGGAGACCAGACAACATCATTTTGATGATGTTTAAAACTGGGATCTCAAGTTTCAAGAGTCATGGTTGGGCTCTTCAATTGTATAGAAGATCTATACTCTGCATAACCCCAGGTAACAACATTCTTGCCTTTAAGTACATGGAAATGTGTGGGTCACATACCATTTAAGTTACTTGAAGAATTCTACACTGAAGCAAAACCTGCGCTGATTTTTCAGGTTGCCTTAAAATAAGTGATTATAAGTAAAACCCTATTGTGATTATATCATCTCTATCACTAATACTTGGGAGAATTTAAAGGCAGTCTCAACACATGCTTTAAACTCTTTTAAATGATCTCTTCAAAAAGTTTTGCAGTCTTTCAATTAGGTCAGCTAAGGGCAGATAATTTTAAAAAGAGTGATTAGACTATAAGTAATATAATTACACACATCCTATAGACATGGTTTATAATTCTGTTACTGGCAGGAAAATTGAAATGCTCAGCATTAACTGATAAAAGCTACAATCCACTTTGATTAAAAAACCAACATAGTATTTATTTGAACTATTGATTTATTGTAAAAATAAATATGTTCTAAGTGCCTGTTCTCCTCCCTCCCAGTTTAAAAACTAATGCTAAAATACCTCAGTGTTGTACACATATTAAATATAAAAAACTAGACTGTGTCAGAGTACTTTTATTTGATAGTAAATGTTCAAATATAACATGTGAAATGTTGTCAGAAAAGGCTGAAAAGGAAAATTTCCCTTCATCGTCTCCATTTACTTGTTCTGCTAGGTACACTAGCAAAACTTCTCCTTATGTGGGATATTAAACACTAAGAGGTAAAGGAATGCCAACTATTGGTTCTGAAATAACCAGACATCCTCTTGTTTAAAAGGAAAACAAAATTAAAATTCCAATCATTTGGAAGTTAAATATGTAGAGGGAGGGTAGTCACTGAAAACGCTGAACTCTTATTTATCTAAGTCTGATGCAGCATTGAAAGGCTGCAGGTGAATGTTTCTGTGTAACTATTTCAAAGTTTGTGTGTCACTACTGGAATAGATATCCACCTCTGCAGGTGACTGTCTTCAGAATTCCAACTGATTGGTTTAGATGCCTTTCACTGGCTGTTTTTCCTGTGTACAATGAACTTGTTAGAACAGATGATTAAAACATCTGAGTGTGTTCGATACAGTTGTGGACTTAGGAAGTTTTGATTACAGTATACGCATCAATCATAGTTATGCCAACTATTTTTTTTTTTAAATATTTGAAAGAGAGGGAGAGATCCTCCATCCACTGGTTTACTAGCCGAATGGCTACAACAGCCAGGGTTGGGCCAGACTGAAGCCAGGATCATCCTTCATGTCTCCCACATGGGTGCAGGGAATCAAGCTCTTGAGCTATCATTTGCTGCTTTCCCAGGCATATTAGCAAGGAGCCAGATTGGAAGTGGAGCAGCCAGTGTTGCAGGCAGCGGCTTAATCTGCTATGCCACAACACCAGACCCCTCGGCCACATTCTCAATGGCTGTGCTGATTACCACACTCAGCTGCATTCAGCTGGCACACTCAGTAGTGCCTCCTCGGATTTCTTCTTTCACCAGAATCTAAGACAACTGCTCTTGGTTGGACATAGTGTTGGGCCAACACTAAATTGCCAACACCAAACCCCCATTAAGAGGAAAGGAGTAACATTTTTCAAGTGTTGTGAGAAAAAGATATTTACCTAGTGGCTATTACTGGAATACTGCTTTTATTTTTTAACAGTACAGGTAGATTTACGTTAGAACTAAATGAATCTAAATATCTGAAACTTTATCGAGATTTCCAACTAAACTTTACTATAAAATATATAGTATCCTACATTCAATTTAGATTGTTGCATGATATACTATAGACTGGTATAGGTCTGATCAGACACTTGTAATATTCATTACCATTTTTTTATCCTGTGTGAGAATTTTATTAAAACCATTTCTAACTGTGCATAAATGATACTTAAGACTTCTTATAGGTCTAAATGGAGAAGCTGTTGGAAAGGATCAGGATAAAATAGTGGAATTCTTCCCATCAAAGACTGAATCATAAACTGGTTAACAGTGAGAAAATATTGACTTGAAAAGTGAGGATAACAGAGTAAAAATTAATGTCTATCTTGTGCTAGACACTGGACTGGGGACTTGTCACAGGTCTGTGAATCCTACTCTATAAACTCGGAAACACCCAGGTATTAACCCTACTCTTGGCAGGGCTACACAAAGCGTCCTTGTACCAAAGAATCAAAACACCTAAAGTCCCCTGGGGATGTGTCCCCAACCTTGAGCTGTGTCAGATTCTCAATACCTCCATCAGTTTCCTCTGGGCCAGGGTATTGAAACTGGGTTCATTCTGTATGGAGTTCACAGACTAGCTGCCTATGTCATGTGTGGGTTCCAAGGTTCTCAAATCCAAAACCAGTGACTTAATAACTCCTAATGCCATCTACCTGGTTCCTCTATTCCTTGAACTGTTTGGGCCTTGCCCTCTATTTTCTCAGATACTGATTAATACCTTGCCAACATTAACTTACCTCCAAAATCTACTCTTTTGGACCTTGGCTGCCTTACCACTCAAAAGTATTCAAATTTTTATATCCAGATTTTTCTTCTCCTGAACCTTTTTAGCATAGTCTTAACTGGAGATCATACATTTACTCTCCCTTCAGCTACATGTCTCTTTATCCTGTATGATCCTCAAATTCTGTGCTGCCCCTTCCAAACACATACCTTTTTAAAAACTGATTCCTGTTGCTATGTCCTTTTCCCATGAATGCCACTAATCTACAACAGTCCTTCCAGTCTCCTTGCAGTCCCAAGTCATGGTGGTCCTTGAATGCATTAAGTGACATCTAAAAAGCATGTTTTTGCATGAAGAATGCTTTACCAGGGCCATTAAGTTTGTGTAACTATCTTTAGTGTGCTACCCCCTTGGTGAATTCATTAGCCCAGAGTCTGGGCTTCAGGTGTGCAGATTCAAGACCTGTCAAGGTAGTAGCCCACCCACCCATTTGGAAATACATTGTATGAAGGAAGTCACAGGGTGAGTAAAATACCACAGCTTTTCTTTTTAAGTGCTGACTCCTCCCTGACCAACAGATGTTAGGGGAGAACTTTGCCCATGACAGCCTAAAGGCCCTGTCAAGAAGACAGTAAATCTTGAAGGCACCTTCTCCACCGTGAGTCAGGATTATTTTCTGGCCATTTCTTTTGTATTGAATGTTTTTTGAGTGCATTCTTATCATTAACTAGATATAATCTAGTTAGGTTATAAAGTATGTAGGTTATATGATGGCAGGGATATTTGCTTTGTTCACTGATATTTTCCCAGCTTCTAGAACATTGACTGCATAGTCAAATTCTGTTCTTCGGCAGATTTTTAAAAGGGGATTTCTTGCACTTGAACTTTTACCTACACACTGATTTTTCAAGGTCTTTATTCATCTAAGCACCCCTCCTTAAGAATTTTTGACAGACATCTAAATTTTGGAAAAACAATTTGTAATGGAATAAGAATGAAAGTAAAGATTTTATATGAAAATAGTCCTCAAATTACTCCTGAAGACTATCTTAAAATAGAAGCACCAGGATGAAATCTGGCCATTCAGGCAGTGTCCTGCCTCTATTTGCCTTTACCTATTTGGCAGATAAAATACTGAAATAATTAACCCAAGTAGTAATATATCTTTCTCAGGTAAAGAATCAAATTAAAAGAATAGTGACATTAAGTAGGTAAAAGCACAAACCTTGAGAGAATGCTGAGTTGGACAGTTTTATTGTGCTCTAGTGTTGAAGGACTTTTGTTTTTTAAGCTCATATAGAAAAATAGATCACTTAGGAAAACTGGAAAATAAAAGGGTGGTGGGGGAGAACCAATGCACCAAGTATTAAAAAATAAAGCTCAAGTATTTCAACATTGAGATACCACTGAACAATAAACAATATAGACCAATGAAATGGAAAACAGAATCCAGATACAGAGCTAAATACATGTGAGACTTTAGATATAAATCTAGTCTCTCAGACTAGTGAGGAAAAGGTGAACTGTTTAACAAACTGGAATAATGACATACTCATTAGAAAAAAATCAGGTTGGGCGGCTCACTTGGCTAATCCTCCACCTGCGGCACCGGTACCCCAGGTTCTAGTCCTGGTTGCCCCTCTTCCAGTCCAGCTCTCTGCTTTGGCCTGGGAGGGCAGTGGAGGATGGCCCAAGTGCTTGGGCCCTGCACCCGCATGGGAGACCAGGAGGAAGCACCTGGTTCCTGGCTTTGTATTGGCGCAGCGCGCCAGCCGTAGCAGCCATTTTGGGAATGAACCAACGGAAGAAAGACCTTTCTCTCTGTCTCTCTCACTGTCTAACTCTTCCTGTCAAAAAAACAATCAGGTTGGATTCATAACATATCTTAATCCAGGATACATGGCAAAGAATCAAAATTTAGATGTAAACAAATTTACAGAAGAAAATATTGGAGAATTACTGTATTGCTCTTGGGTGAGGAAGGTATTCTTACTAGTACTCAAAATCCAGGAACCACAAAAAATTGATAACTTGAATTAGATGAAAATTGTAAAAAAAAAAAAAAATTTGCATGCCAGAATCATCCTAAGAAAGGTAATGGATGACAGAATGGAAAAAAAAAAAAAAACTACTGTAATTCATTAAAATCAAAGCTTTGATATCTCTAACAAGTACTCCTGGAAACTGATAAGCAAAACAATGTGGTAGGAAAAATGAGCAAAATATATGAACTTTTAAACACACTAAGAGGTGGTCAACCCTACTCTTAATAGATGAAAAACATTAATTTTTAAAAATCTATCAGAATGTCTAAATCCAACATTTTAATAATTGTGAGGTTGTGGATAAACAGGTACTGTCATAAATTTCAAATGGTAGGTGAACCAGTAACTACTCTATATGGAGGACAATATGTCAGTATCATTCAAAAGTTATAAAATGCACATTTCTATAGGTACATATTTATGTCAATGTGAAATGATACATGAACAAGGTCTGGAAACAATTTAGATGCCCATTAATAGTGGACTGGATAGACCAGCTCTCTGCTGTGGCCCGGGAAGGCAGTGGAGGATGGCCCAAATGCTTGGGCCCTGCACCCACGTGGGAGACCAGGAGGAAGCACCTGGCTTCTGATCGGCGCAGCATGCCGGCTGTAGAGGCCATTTGGGGGTTGAACCAACACAAAAGGAAGACCTTTCTCTCTCTCTCTCTCTAACTCTGCCTGTCAAAAAAAAAAAAAAAAAAAAGTGGACTGGATAAATGACAGCACATCCATACAGTGGAATACTAAACAGTCACTAAACACTGAGGAAACTATCAAATGACATGTGAAGGCTGCAAAAATTTATTAAGTAGAAAAAAAGCAAATGGTATCTACTTAATCCACTTTTTGTATAAAAATGAGACAAGAAGTAAGATTTTCCAATTGTGTATGTTGTTAATGCCTAAAAAAAGTGTGGATGGAAGTATGAGAACCCAGGAACAGGGTATTTAAGGTGAAGGGGTGTATCTGTGCAGCATGGGAAGTTGGGCCAAAGAAGGAAGACATTTGCTGTATAACTTTTTGTCCCTTTTTGTTTAACCATGTGAATGTATTACCTATTCAAAAAAATTAAATAAAATAAGCATATTTTAAAAGCCTTGTGATGCAATACAAATCAAAAGATGCCTAAAGCCCCCACTTTTTAGCTAAATCGGAAATAGGCCAACTTCAGAAATGACACAAAATGGAGCAAATTATGAGTACAGGCTCCAGAGTCAGATTTTCTAGTCTCAAATTCCAGTTCCACAACCCACAGTTTCTGACAATGGAAAAATTACTTAGCTTCTCTCATCCTGTTTTCTTTATTAAAGGTCTGTTGAAAAATGGAATTAAAAGGTGCTCATTTTGGTGAAAAAAATTTTTGAAATCCATGCATCATTTTGTCATAATACTCATTTCTCTTGACCTTCTTGAAGACTCCTTCTGTACATGGATTTCAAAATTTTTGCACCAAATAAACTTAACCTTTTTATTTTCCACTTACTTTCCACAAAGAACCCTCATATTGTACTTTACCTACAAGCACTGTTGTGAAGACTAAATGATGTCTGAAAAGCACTTCACAGAATGTCTGCCATACTTGTCATTACATTGGAAGAAGCAACCCAGACTACCTAAAAATATTTCCTCCCTCTCCTCAAATTATAGTCAGGTCGTCATATCATAAAAGAAACAAACTAAAGGAGGGGGGGAGAAACAGAAAAAATGGCAGAAACATGTACTTTAATTCACATTTTCCAGAATCTGGCAGGTATAACAGCAAATTATTTGGAATTTTGTTCAAATCAAAGGTGCACCTGTAGATACTACTTTAGAGTACGTATAGGTTTGTGTGTTTTGTACCAAATAATTTTCATGATACCATGCATCTAATCTGTATGTTTTTTGGTGAATAGCTACAGTTTCTGCAGATACTTCAGTTTGCAAACTTCTGAGAGGTTTACTGTGAACTGTTCCCAAATTTCCAGCCGAAGGCAATGCTGATGAAGACCAAAATAGCTGTTCTTTCTTACATACAATGGCACCTGGGCAAAGTTGAAAAACATAGCACAGTGTCTTATATGCACACAGATTACAAATATTGAGTAATTCAGTATGTTAAATGTCTAAATGTTTTTACATCAAATTTCAAAACTAAATCCAGTGCTATTTTGTCTGATTCTCCTCTTAATCTAAGAATCAAAGCAGGAAAAGCATTCAGAGTTTACCAATATTTAGTTTGTCTAATTTACACAGATACCACTTAAGCAAAAAGTAAACTCATGCCATTGAAAGGAGGAATATTTTCTTTTTCTTCTTTTTCATTACTTCATCAGCTGGTACAATCATTTCTGTCAGTTATATTATTAAGTGTGGGATTTTTAAATTAGGTGATGAGATAAAGACAAAATGCCAAGAGGTACTCACCAGCCCAGCATTTTCACAATGCAACAGTACTCTAGTATTTCACAACTAAAGGCATGGTAACTGTCCAATATCTAGCATAAGGACGGTAAAATGTCACCAGGCTCATGAAACAAAGATTCCTACACTTATACATTTAAGAAATACACACATATACAAAAATGTAGGTCACCCCAACCTAATTTGTGATAAATTTCAACTTAAGAATTTATTTTCTTAATAGTGAAAAAATTAGTTAAATTTCCTAGAACACACTCTAATATACCATTTTCCCTAAGTTTGAAACAAATCAGAGCAAGAAAAAAAACAATAAATGGAAATGACCAAGGATTTTCTCTAGTAAACAGTTTTAACTAATGGCCTTTCTCTTTATGAAGGAATATGCAGTAACACTACCAAAAAGTTCTTTAAATTTACAGTAATAAAAGACAAAGTGCAAAATTTTCACATTTTCTACAACTCTGAATGAACACTAAAAACAATTCTGTTTAATTACTAGCAAGATTGCTTGGTCACATTTTAGACAGTTTGCCGTAAGGTCCCCTCCTCCACTGTCATTACTTACAACCCTTAGAAAGAAAAGAAAAAGTGGAGGAAGTTCCAATCAAGCCAGCCTTTTAAAAATTTAACTTAACAAAAACATACCAACAACAAAATCTAAAGTTTAAGAAGGTTAGAAAATAGGTGACAAAATAACTCCAGTAAGAACTTACACCCCCAACTATATCCCTCCAAGGGATAGTTAAGTATTTAAAAGAGGGGTGGGCTAACTAAATAAAATTTAAAATACTTCACTAAATCATCAATGAACACATTTCAGACTTTGGCAGGATAAGATGCGGGTTTTAAGAGCACTTATTATTTACTTCAGAGAAGACTGAAGAATCCAAGGAGAAACTCTTGATTTTGTACCCGTGTTTTACATAAATGCAGTCTTTCAAATTAATCACATATCTGCTGATGTCATTTTAAAAAAATCAAAAATTTTTTAAAAATACTGTTTAAAGATTTAAATTCCGAGTTTAGAAAACGACAGTTTGGGATTTATGAGTCATCTTGTTACAAGTTACACAAAGTACCATCAAAATACAATTAACTAAATATGAGAAGAAGAGTAGAGCAAGCTTAAAGGAGACTTGACCAAATCTACATGCTGGACTATCCTACCAAAGAAAATTACACTGAGAGAGGATTGCATAGGCAGTATTCTAAAGTTAAATTCTTTACAAATGTTTCAAATGTTCACCATTACTTAACATAGCAAATTTTATGTGTGTACAGTGTTTTTAACTGGCATTATAAATTGATATAATTCCATTCAAATTTTATCAAGAAGTAATCTGTTAAGTATTTATGCAATTTTTCTTTCCTTAAAGCAACTGATAATTTCTAAAATTTGGGTAAGAACAAAAAGTCAAAATGGAAAGCAGATGATTTGTAAGTTTTTTGTTTGTTTGTTTGTTTTTTTTTACAGGCAGAGTGGACAGTGAGAGAGAGAGCAACAGAGAGAAAGGTCTTCCTTTGCCGTTGGTTCACCCTCCAATGGCCGCCACGGCCGGCATGCTGCGCTGATCCGATGGCAGGAGCCAGGTACTTCTCCTGGTCTCCCATGGGGTGCAGGGCCCAAGGACTTGGGCCATCCTCTACTGCACTCCCGGGCCACAGCAGAGAGCTGGCCTGGAAGAGAGGCAACCGGGACAGAATCCGGTGCCCCGACCAGGACTAGAACCCGGTGTGCCGGCGCCGCAAGGCAGAGGATTAGCCTAGTGAGCCATGGCGCCGGCCTGATTTGTAAGTTCTAAATAAAAGAGTATGCCTGAGCCAGCTCACTGCACACACATGAAATCTAGCTGAGTCAGCATGGAGAATACTTATCATCTTTACAAAAGCAGGGCTTACCCAAAACAAAATAGTAAGAGCAACAAAAAAAATCTTAAAACCAATGAAATTAAAGTCCCAGGAAATCTTAAGGAACTTCTGTAACTATTCTTTGAGAGGCCCATTCAGTATGTTGACTGCTCCATATTGTAAAAGGTGACACACACAGAGCAAGGCAAGGGTAAAAACAATATTAAAAAATCACTGATAAGTCTTTGTCACTGATACCAGCCCTAAGCAACATCTGGTTTCCTAGTTCTCTTTTTTCCAAAACAAACTGTGTTATGAGCATAGAGTCATGTGACAACTGGAAATAAGGGATAATCAATAAGAACAAAACCATTTATAAAAAACTATTCAACAGATGGAAACACACGAAAATAAACACAGAATTAGTATAACTTACATGTTTTAAAGTATATACTTCATTTATAAATATCTCTAATTGACAATAATCTATTGAGAATCATAAATATTCAAGTGAGCATTTGAATTTTCTCTTTAAGAGTTCAGAAGTCTTGAAGTCTTAGAAGATTAGTCTCTTTCTGCTGAATGTCCAAGACTAAAAGGCTCCACAAAGTCACTTTACGTCTCTAACCAGACATATAAAAGCCTTTATTACCTACTGTGCTGAAGTAAGACTTTAAAATTTTGTAACTCTCGTATACTTGTAGAAAGCCTGCAGAAGAAAAAGTGTGTTAGTAAGTACAGTGAATGATGCAGGCATATATCAAATTATCAATATTGTTATATGGTCTCTAATTTGAAAGCAAAATCTAAAGAAGTAAACAATACTGAACAGTGAAGCTTTCCATTTTTGAGTGAGTATGCTCTAATTTCTTCAAGATTGACAAAACAGAGCAGTGGTTCTTTGGTCTTGGTTTAAAAGGGAAAAGGAAGCCAGTTATTGTTATCAACAGATTCTAGATTAATGATAGGAAAAGTGATAATCTGTTAACAAAAAAAAAATCTTGAAGTGATTTGCATTTGATCTTTTAAATTCATTTTGCTCATTTCTCTTCAAGTGACCACTCTGCTTCTTTCTTGTTGTTCCCTAAACCCACTTTCACATTGTTAGTGCTCTAAGAGTAAAGACTATCTTCTGCCAAGTCCCTTCCTGTACCTGTTACTCATCCACGATTATTAACTGCCTAACAAACATTCTGCCTATCTTGTGTTTGAAATTTGTCTACGTAGTCATCTTTCAATACAGAGCAGCAACAGGTGGAATCTGTCAAGATGAGAAAGGTATAACCAATATATTTTCACTGCCTCTTTTTAATTTAAAATATATGTGAAGAAAGCATAAGGAATACTTTTATTACTCAGCCTGTATTTTTTAAACTTGATTTTTTTTCTGCCCTTTCCCCAAGGTAGCATATTACCATTATCTGCTATTCTTTTCCTTCTATTTTGTATTCCTTAGTTGGTATTGCATGTATCTTTATAAATTAATTTTTGAAATCATTTATGTATAAACAAAAAGGAAGCTACATGTCTATACACACACACAAGTGAGGTAGAAATCAGAGACAAAAGACTCCTTAGCTTAAGAAATAAAGAATTAAATGAAGGGTTTAATTTCTTTTTCTTTGGCCAGCGCCACGGCTCACTCGGCTAATCCTCCGCCTGTGGCACCGGCACTCCGGGTTCGAGTCCCGGTCGGGGCGCTGGATTTTGTCCCGGTTGCTTCCCAGTCCAGCTCTCTGCTGTGGCCCAGGAGGGCAGTGGAGGATGGCCCAAGTGCTTGGGCCCTGCACCCGCATGGGAGACCAGGGGGAATCACCTGGCTCCTGGCTTTGGATCAGTGCAGCGTGTGGGCCGTAGCAGCCACCTGGGGGGTGAACCAACGGAAAAGGAAGATCTGTCTCTCTCTCTCACTGTCTAACTCTGCCTGTCAAAAAAAAAAAAATTTCTTTTTCTTTTATCACTTTTTCAATCAACTAAGTTTTCCTTCATCTACTACTGTACTTGAACAAGTTATGCCCAGCTAAAAAGTAGTATAGAATATTTCTCTAAAAAATTGAGGAGGTAAACTGCTAAATATTGGCAACTGGAAATCATTAGTTTTTCTTATGACCTATAGTGAAACTAATTTTGTTAGCATTCATGCTAATCTAAGTAAAGTGAGTACAGGTATAATAAAATAATTATCTTTTTGTCAACAAAAGGACCTAAACTCTACTTCGGCACACTGGATGATCAAGTCTTCACTGTGAAAGTAGGTCTTGGGGCCGATGCTGTGACGTGGCGTGTGGGGTCACTGGCTATGGTGCCAGCTTCCCTTATGGGCACCGGTTCAAGTCCTGGCTGCTCCACTTCCCATCTAGCTCTCTGCTGTGGCCTGGGAAGGCAGTGGAGGATGGCCCAGGTCCTTGTGCCACTGTATCCATGTGAGAGATCCAGGGGCAGCTCCTGGCTTCGGGTTGGTACAGCTCTGGCCATTGCAACCAATTGTGGGGGGAGCCATGGATGGAGGACCTCTCTCTGTCTCTGCTTCTCCTTCACTCTCTGTGTAACTGACTTTCAAATAAATAAAAAAATCTTTAAAATAAAAAAGTGGGTCTTACCTTCCAAAGGCATTTAAAAGAGCAACTATTTCCTGTCGAGTGAGTTGGAAGCCTTTAGATGGACTATTCTCTGGAAGCTTTTGAATTTCTTTTTCAGAGAATAATATCTTCAGGGCAGTTCCTAAACCCTGAGTCTATAAAGAAAAATACTAATAAGCTTAAAATTAACTTTACATAATAACTACTAGAAAGGTTTAAAGCGATACACAGCTACTGTGATGACAGGAATTCATATGAACTGAACTTTTTAACAAAATGTTGAACTATGAAAAGTACAGTTTCTACTTCCTCACATGTTATACATATGATAGATTTAAGCTAATAAGGAAACTGGAATAGTCTAACACTTATTGGACACATATACCATCCGAAATTATGAAAATGCCTTTTTTAAACCTCACCAATAACATTAGGGCCACAATTAGATTTATAACCTTTACATTTTTTATAGCTCTTATCAATTCAAACCTCAGATTATTAGTGATTCCTACACATTATAATTACTCAAGTAGCAGCACTAGAGAAAAATGAGATTAAAATATCAATCATTCTTAGACTAATAATATAGAGTAACAGACTTTGCAGAACATTATTTGGTAACTAGGTAGCAAATGAAATAAATTCAATGACCAAAATTTGATACTTAAATCTTTTTATATAATTACATTTTACCTTTTTTTCATAAATGCCAACTTTATAAATAAATCTGAGATTGTACCAGCAGATACAATAAAAGTAAAATTGACACAGAAAACAAAATCCATACACATGTATATCTATTAGAGTTTAATAATGCTTATTTTTTCATCAGTAAAGCAGAAAAATCACAATTTGGATCTGCCTATTTCTCAACCATAATGAAAAATGAGCACATCTTAATCAAAATTTTGAAGTCAGTGAAAAAAAAGTAAAGTTAGTAACAATTTCAGAAGAAAGGACAACACACATACCTGTAATTTCCCCCATAATCTGCATTTATCACATCCAACACAGTCCATAATACGGGAGATATTCTTGAAATGTAACCGAAATTCTTCCTGGCAAGCAGAAAATATTTTCAGGTTAATTAGACTTTTAAAATTAAACTGCATTTAGTTGAACTAAGAAGTAAAATTTTTGAAGTTTATTCATCAATGTGTTTTTCAACAGTAAAAAATATTTGAACTTGTACAACATAATTGTGGAACATAAAACAATGGACATTAATGAAACTTTGTAACATTGATCCTGAATATTAATTTAAAAAGTTTTATTGAAGGGCTGTTTCTAGACAAAGCCCTAAAATATGCATTATGGGGACATAATAGTAAATGATCAAATGGTCTTGACATTTAAAAAAACATTAACTGCTGTTTGCATTTTATATCTACACTCCATCAATAATAAATACATTTAATGTTTCATTTATTTTGATGTTTTGCTTTGTATGAACCTAAATCAGAATACTATCCCTAGAACAATGATCAATTTTCATATCACTCCTTAGTATCACATGTCTGTCACAGGTGTCAATCCATGTTAATGATCACAGGCCTGTGCAGGGTGTATCACCGACTCCCACTTTAGCTAGTGCCAGCTTCCTCAAATATGCAGTGCCATACTGATGGTTACTGCATCTCTGGCTTTTCCTACACAGGAGAAGCTCTTCTACCTGTAAGCATCTGTGCGTGGCTTACTCTATCTTCAAAGCTAATGTCACTTTATCTGAGGACACAAGTTAAGAGAACATTCCCTCATCTGTTTCAAAAGGAAAAATGTAGAAAATAAAATCATTTTATTGTATGGAGTAAATATTTTATTGCATGGAGTTGGAGGCAAGTAGCCTGAAATTGGCCATCAGAAGCCTTGTTCAGCTGTCCAAGGGATTAAAAACAATCAGTATCTCGGCCAAAACAAAGACAACAGAAGTAGAATGTAAAAGCCTTTGCTCTCCACTCTTGGTGTAATGCATGGTCTTTGGAGCAGATGGAAAACGGACTTAGGTTCTGCTTTTACACACTCTTTTTTTTTTTTTTTTTAATTTATTTATTTGAAAATCAGAGCTACACAGAGAGAGGAGAGGCAGAAAGAGAGAGGGAGGTCTTCCATCTGCTGATTCACTCCCCAGTTGGCTGCAACGGCCGGAGCTATGCTGATCCGAAGCCAGGAGCTTCTTCCTGGTCTTCCAGGAGGGTACAGGGGCCCAAGGACTTGAACCATCTTCTGCTGCTTTCCCAGGCCACAGCAGAGAGCTGGATCAGAAGTGGAGCAGCCGGGACTCGAACTCGCACCCATATGGGATGCAGGCGCTGCAGACCAGGGCCTTAACCCACTGCACCACAGCACTGGCCCTTGAAAAATAGCAAAATTCTCAGCATCATGGGGTTGGAAGCTAGTCATGACCTCAGGCCTTGTTCAGTCTTACTTTATTCATCTACAAAAATACACATAATTATAGTTGACCTGCCTTATTCAGGGTGCTTTGAAGATCAAAAATATAATATCTGTGTAAATACTTAGAAAATAGGAAGTGTTATAAAATTAATTAACATTATATTCAGTGCAATAATAGAAATATATCTCTAATACAACTGTTAAACAAAACAATCCCCCAACACTAAAATGTAGTTTTGGTTAAATTCCTTATTTCATTTCAGAAATAAAAAGAAATTCTCATCAATGGAGAAACACTCAGTATTGAGTCTTTATTTATTGTGATATATCTACCATCTAAAACAAAGGTGTTTGAAAATTTTTTCAAATTTTAGAAATATTGTATATGCACTAAATATTATGAAATACCCCACAAAGTATGAGGCAATACCCTGCAATCAAATACATTAATGCTTCTCCAACAAAATAGAAGAAAATTGATAGAATATTTTTTGTTTTGGAATTCTGCTTTCTATCTCTATTCTTATATCAGTTCACCTCAGGCTTTGGTAACAAATTGTATTGCATCAAGCATGAGAAAATGTTTGTTTTTGGATTTCAGAATTGTTAGAAAAGATCGTGAAGCTATATTAGAACAGTATTTGCCAGCCAGCTTCAAATATTTTATTAACATGTTAAGAGTACAATTTATTCCCCAATGTACTATAAACAAATGAAAACAAAGAATTCCAGATATGAAGTTTGATAATGTTACTAAAACATATTCTCCTTCTGATATCACAGGTTAACAGGTAAGTTTTAGGTTTTCTATCAGTCCAAAAGTCCAGCAAAAAAACATAATAGCTTAAAAACTGTAACATTCCATAAAATAATCTTCAGAAAAATTAAGATTACTGTCTTCAAAGTGGCTAGCCACTGATATTTAGAAAGTTGCATTAAAACAAAATACACAACAATTTTAACCTAACAAAACTTGCAAAATAATACCTTTTAGAAAGACATTTATAAAAGTTTAACACTTATTGGACAGAATAATGACTGAGGATTGACTAAGAAGCTGGTCAAACTAGAAGAGAGAGGGGACTGAGAAAGAAGTATGGTGATGAATTTTTGGCCCACTTATAGAGAAATCACATCAGATGAACCTCAAAAAGTTAGGACTATGGGAAAGAAGAGAATTTAGATGAGTAAGATTAAAACATGGCCGGCGCTGCGGCTCAACAGGCTAATCCTCTGCCTAGCGGCACCGGCACACCAGGTTCTAGTCCCGGTCGGGGCACCAGATTCTGTCCCGGTTGCCCCTCTTCCAGGCCAGCTCTCTGCTGTGGCCCAGGAGTGCAGTGGAGGATGGCCTAAGTCCTTGGGCCCTGCACCCCATGGGAGACCAGGAGAAGCACCTGGCTCCTGCCTTCGGATTGGCGCGGTGCGCCGGCCACAGCAGCCATTGGAGGGTGAACCAAAGGCAAAAGGAAGACCTGTCTCTCTCTCTCTCTCTCACTGTCCACTCTGCCTGTCAAAAAAAAAAAAAAAAAAAAAAAAATTAAAACAGAACCAGTACAACCTATCCCTCAATCAAGAACTTTTTACCTTTAAAGATTTGGCTCCCTTTTTGTCACCAGCAAACATGGATTTCTCATCAAAGTGCATAGGAAAAGACCTGAAGAAAAGACAGTCATATAATATGGTAGAGACAAAAAAAAAAAAAAAAAAAAAATCCAAGTACTTTCTAAGAGCCCTGCTAGAATCTTTTTTCCCTACAAAAATTTAAAATTAATGATTTAGGGGCCGGTGCTGTGGCGCAGCAGGTTAAAGCCCTGGCCTGAAGTGCCAGCATCCAATATGGGCACCGGTTCTAGTTCCGGCTGCTCCACTTCCAATCCAGTTCTCTGCTATGGCCTGGGAAAGCAGTAGAAGATGGCCCAAGTCCTTGGGCCCCTGCACCCACGTGGGGTTCTTGGAAGAAGCTCCTGGCTCCTGGCTTCAGATTGGCACAGCTCTGGTCATTGTGGCCATCTGGGGAGTGAACCAGCAGATGGATGAAATCTCTCTCTGTCTCTACCTCTCTCTGTAACTCTTTCAAATAAATTAAAAAAAAAAAAAACTGACGATTTATTCATGTGTAAGGTTTAGTAAGGTAGGAAGGTGGCAAACAGTTCACATATAAATTGTTTAATCAGAGACTAAAGCAAGATGCAGATGGCTTTCTAATTTATAAGACTGTTATGTTTTGTCTTTGGCCATACCATCCTTAATGCATCTGATATCATCCAATCTAAAAAGCTAGGCAGCGTTTGGCCTGGTTAGTACTTGGATGGAAAACTGTAATGTGTTAAAGAAAGTACATGATGATATAAAAAATTTAAAACCTATGTGAAAAATAGACATTCTTTTAAAATATGATACATTATTTAAATACTTAATATTTTTCTTTTTAAAAAATTTATTCAAAAGGCACAGCAACAGAAACAGTGAAAGACAGAAACATGGATAGAATGGAGACAGAGATCTTCCATCCACTGGTTCGCTCCCCAAAAGCCCATCCAGTGGCTGGGGTGGATCAGGTATAAGCCAGGAGCCTTGAACACGAGGGACTCACAGACTTGAGTTACTTAATAGGATATGCCTTAGCAGGAAGCTGGATCAGAAGTGAATGTGCCCGGACTTGAACCCAAGTACTCTGATATGGGATGCCAGTATCCAGAATGGCATCTTAACCACTGAGCTAAATGCCTGCCCCCATATTCATTTTAACAACCAGTAAACTCAAATTTTATATACCAAGCATATTTCAAAACGGTTATATTCTAGAAGGTAAGGTTAATGCTCCCTTATGTATCTACCATAATGCTAACATACATAATGATACTACCTAGATAATAACTGAAAGCACTAAATTTTGATACTACACAAAACTTAAAGTTACATTTAAAATTATGGCCCAAACTCAAGTATGAAAATTTCTACAACAACTTCTGATAATTTTACTTCTCAGTCCCCTTTTCCTAACTTTTAGGAGTCAGGTTTTTGTTGTACCTCATTTGAATAGAGAAGTTCAGGTACCTGACAGTTAATTCTTACTTTGTATCTTGAAAGATATTCAGTAGGAGGCTTTTTGTGTCAGCATCTTCTTCTACATTTCCAGTGTAAAGATCGACAATTGAGCGCTCAAAATATGGCGCTACCTTTGACAAAGCCCGAAGTTCAATCAAGTATAAAAAGTACAGATTCTTTAGCCTTCGTGGACCTTCCCCCTTGGTTTCCACAGGGTCAAAGCGGCGTTTAAATTCTTTGATATTAGGCCCCCAGCTAGGTTTACCCCAAGTTTCTAAAAAGGAAGAGAAATACATTATTTTAGTAAATGGATTTTTTTTGGTCTAGAGAAAATGTATCCCCTCCCCCCAAATTTTACACTAATAGCAAAATCTCTGCTTAAAAATCTGTTTACCTTCCAAAAGATAATTTGCACACAGATGTAAATTGATACTAGCATGAAGTCCTGATATAAGCTTATAGAAGACTCTCTTCTCCAGACACAAACCTATGTTTTAAAAATGAAAAAGAAATGATGCCCATTATATAGCAGATATATTGAATCAGAGGTACTCAGTACACAGGATTTTTTTTAAGATTAAAGGGTGGTGAAAATAAATCAAGAATAATATAAAAAGTTAGATTAGGATCCCCTCACTAGAAAACAAAGTAATATTCAGAATAGAGTTAACTGAATATGATGGGAACTTCATGTAAAACCAGATAGAACAGTTTGGCAACTACCAATGGTAAAAACACAGGCAGCTGGAAAGTTCTCATGTTACACAGAAGGCAATAGCAAAGGCTGGTGTCTGTATGTGTGGTGTCGGCTGACAACTTAATAAAACAACTATAAAGTCACAATTTTCATTTAACAATAGCTGTTTCTCCTTTTCCCTTTCCTGTATGTGTTCCTTCTTAGAACTTATTTGGTAGTGGAGATTTATTAACCTCTTGCCTGGTAAATCTTTAATTCTATTTAACTGTATTTTCTACTTGTAAGATCCCAAAACTTGGAGAACAGACATTGAAGAATTTCAACATACACCGAAAAAATGCATGTTGACCATTTACTATGTGAATAGAATCATACTGTCTGGAGTTCAGAATACAATGAAAATTATTTTACGTAGCCTTCTTAACCCATACAGGCTTTTACTCAAAACTTACAACAGAGGTCAAGATAATCCCTATCCTAGCCTATTCCTGCTTCCATTTTAAAAGATTTTCTTTATAATAAGATTGGCACCTTGTAATGTATTTAATGCCAGTAAATGGTGAATTTAAAAATGGCTCAGGTAAAAAATTTTATGTTAGGTATCACAATAAAATTTTTGGAAAGTAATAGTCTTTATGGAAAATTTAAAAATAAATAAAAATGGAGAAAGATTAGTTTCAAGAATCCACTAATGCAGAACAATTAGCTTTTTCCATCCATCACACATGTTTTCTGCTTGTTTGCTTTTTGTTTTTCCATGAGGAAAAATAGACTTCAATAGTAGAAATTAAGATAGTCACGTTTTTATGCAGTTGGAAAAATTATAAGAGTACTTAAGTGGCTTACTTTGCATTGTTTAAAGATCTTTTAGTTTTTTATTTAATATGAAAGGCAGAGAGAGAGAAAATGAGAGAGAGATGTCCCATTCAGTGGTTCACTTCTCAAAGCCTGCAACAGCCAGGAATGGGCCATCCCAAATTCAGGAACCAGGAACTAAAAATAGATCTTGTTTATTGGTAGCAGGGACACAAGAACTTGAGCCATCATCTGCTGCCCTCCCAGGCACATCAGCAAAGACTGGATTGGAAGAGGAGCAACTGTGCCACAGTGTTCGCCCCTAAATTAGAATTCTTGCTAGATTATTTGAATTACCATAGATAATAATAATAATAATAATCAGTACTACTGAGGAGGGAGGAGTGGAAATCTATCAGGGTACTTCAAAAGTTGATAGAAAACCAGAATGAAAAAGTAAGTTTATTTTGGTGCAGAAAATTTGAAAACCTATGCAGTTTTTATAATACACATTTTCTAATTTTTTGAAGACTATTTTTTTTCCCTCACACAAAAGGGCTATATTTACTGTAATAATAGGATGTGACATTTAGACATTGTTTAATGATTTCCAAAGGAGTTCTTATAGCTATTATCTATACTAATAATGTAGATAAGTGGGATTACTATTGCCACTCTTACACTCCAGATGAAAAAATTCAATCTAGAAAAGGTGGTCAGTTGCCTGTAAACAGGATTGCTCCCTGGAACCATTTATCAATATTCAGGGATTGGGGGATACTGGAGTGGTGATACAGTATTCCTAGAATCCAGTATTGCCCTGAATTTCATTCTTATGCTTCTTATCAATATTCAGAGTCCCCGTCTCTTGTAACCTAAATGCCACCTTCTACATTTTTTATCTTTAGAGTAGAGCTTAATATTTAAATAAGTTAATCATCTTCTTCTACACAGGCTATTTTCAATACAATTCCAACAGTATTTGCACAATAATTTTCACCTTACTAATGGCTGATATATGCACATAGTTCACTAAAAACAAAGGGAAATCATGTTCATAAGATAACATGACCAATTAACAGACATAAAATAGTATTAACTACTTAGTTTAACCCTAAAAGGCCACAGCTATGGAATATCAATTTTCTCATTATCAGTGAACTTGCTTAAATTCCACTAATACATACTAACTTTCAGTTTCATAAATCATGGCAATTTGAAAAGTTTTAAAAATCATCGCATAACCAGTTATTAACCTAGGTTGTCAAGATCCTAGAACATTTCAGCTTTCCATTAATAACAACATTTTATATTTTCAACACTGGAAATATAAGAATATAAAAGTATGTAGTACATTTCTGGCGGACCATAACCTCAAATTTAGCAATCTAAAGCATATATTATCTTCTTCCAAATACTGTCATAATTAGTTGTCAAGGCAATACAAATGTAAAATTTATAAAAACATATCAGTACTTTCTGCAAAAAGCCAGTAAATGTAAAACACAGACATTAAGTTTACCTTCTAGCCACGTATAGAATGATTCTCCTAAAAAAAAAGGGGGGGTGGGGGAAATTGAGTTAAAATATTTTAAATGGTAATGTATAAATACAGTTTATTAAAAATTTATTATGACAGATTAATAAGTATCTCTAGATAGAAATGACCACTGCTTCAGGTAAAACGGAAAAGGGCATATGGTTCTAGAAAATAACATCCTCAAGTAATTTAAGTAACTTGGGAGAACATCCTCACTATTAAAACTTTTGAGGAAACATATCAGTCAAAATTATGTAAACCTTATTCACTGAACATTTAATCATCCAAAATCATGACGGCAGTTTAACAATCTTAAATTTGCTTTCAATAAGAACAACTATAGTACTTCTATAAAAAAGGTTGAGAGGAAAAAGTCGTTTACTATACAAATCAAGTTTTCCTAAGCCAATAAAACCATATATTTCCTCAATTATATAATACTACTAAATTTTGAGAAATATTTTGAAATCTCTTAATTTGAATATAATTCTTCAGAAAAGTTAATGAATAAAATAAGGAAGACATTGATTTATCTGTATACTAGTGTCACAAGAAATGTTCTTGAGGTTGGGGAGATGTTGGTCAAAAGAAGAAAAATTTCAATTAGACTGGAAAAATTAAAGAGATCTATTGTACAACACTGTGTCTATGGTTAATAGAAGTACTGCATTCTTGGAAAATTGCCTAGAGAATAGATTTTAAGTGTTTTTAATCACGAAAATAATAATTGAGGCAATACATTATATTAATCAGCTCAGTTTAGCCATTCCCAAGTGTGTGTGTGAATATATATATATTTTAAAATATTATGTCATACATAAATATATGCAATTTGTATTTGTCAATTAAAGAAAATTATTCATGGCCTAATACAGTTTTTCTAGATGGGGAGAGGGAGAGATGGCTGTCAACAAAGAGCAAAATTGCTAATCTACTTCTTAAGTTAATAATCCTATTTTATTATTTTTTATTGAAAAAATAGTGATAGAAAACTAACACATAGATGAATTGAGTAGAACTCAAGGAGACAGATGGTAGTGTATTTGACTCTTCAGAGTCTTCACACTTTGCAATAACTACAAACATCTTTTTACTGATTCATTGATTCAACATATGCTGCCTAAGAAGCATTCATTTTTATTTCACTTGTTCAAAAAATCTCACGTGGCAACTGGAAAAAGTAGCTCAGAAGGTCTTCAATAATTTGGCCTCTACCCATCTTTTTCATTTAACCTATCAACAGTCTTTCCTACTGCTAAAGGGTCTCCCTAGTGGGCTTGACTTTTCCTTTCTAAAATCTTTGGTACATAGTATTTCCCCCAAATAGCACATACCATCCAATTCTACTGGCCTAGACTGGCCCCATTATTTAAAATTCACTTCAAGTGCTTAGTCCCTCCCATTAGTTTTCCTGTATCACACCAGTGTTGATTTGTTTTGCCCATAAGGAGCTATATCACCTACTTTTTGTACTATGTACCAAGTATGTCTTACCCGATTACAATTATTTATGCACAGTAATTATCTTTCCTACTATATATCATCACCCTCTAGAGGGTAGGCATCACGTTTTAAACGTCATCCTTTCCTGCAAAATGCCCAACATGGTCCCCTAGAACACAGATAAGGGGGCGGAGCCAAGATGGCGGAATAGTGAGGGCACGCACCGATAGTCCAGGAAAAGATAGTTTAATAAAAGTGGAGTTACAGTAGCCTCAGGAAAAGGATCAGGAAAAAATTGCAGAGGAAACTCTTCCAGATCTAGTGGATGTGACTCGGAGGACCTACGGGGAGAGCAAGGTCGCCCACCGCGTGGAAGCCAAGCCGTGGGAGCCGAGCCGCAGAGTCTGTGCGCCAGCACTGGAAGGGGAGGTGAGACAAAAACTTCAGTAACCCGAGACACTGGCAGGGAAAGGCAGAAAGAGCCTACAGGGAACGATGCCTGAAGCCCCACTGGGGAAAGTTCACCAGGCTGACTGGAGGAGAAAAAAAAAAACGAATAAATAAGGGGAACCGGCACGGACTTTAGCCTCTCTCTACACTCACCTTACAAAGCCGAGCAAGACAAAGAGCAGGCGCCATTTTACGTATGTAAAGTGGCACCCACCCGAAGCCAAGCAGAAAAACCTGACTCTGGTGGGGAAAAATAACAGGAGGTTAAGACCTAGTGAAAGTGTGGAGCTAACGAACTGGGACTGTGAAAATCGGGGGGGGGGGGGGGGGCAAGAGAACTCACCAAGTAAACAAACTTGGTAACCTGGGCAACCTGGTGAAAGACTGCTGAGAAATTTGAGACCACACTGAGGGCTGCATAAACTCTTTGTATGGTCCCAGGGGTAACCAGACAAATACCCACAGGGGCCAGATTTCATACATCAACTACCCTCAATTCCACTCAGCTGTGTGGAATTGCTTCCCAACTGAGTCAAAAAAAAAAAAAAAAGAGAGAGAGAGAGAGAGAGAGAGAGAGAGAGAGAGAGAACTAGAGAACAATCTGTGTGAGTCACCTTTGGCACACCCTTAACCCTGAAGAACCAAACAGAGCTCTATGGTCACACCCATCACAACCTCTAAGGATCCATCAAAAGCAGACAGTCCACTTAATCTAGAGTCATAGTATAACGAGAAAAAACACCACAGTGAAGAAACCAAAGAATATCTCCAATATGCCAAACAACAAATGCAAAAACCGAGGTAACAAGAACAAGGAAGACACTATGACGCCCCCAAATGAAATAGACACCCCAATTCAAGATTATGAAGATGATGAGATGGAAGAAATGCAAGAAGCAGATCTCAAAAAATTGATAAGAACATTAAGAAGTTCTCAAAAACAAATTCTTGAACTACAGAAATCCTTAATGGACAAGATAGAAAATCTCTCTCGTGAAAATGAAATATTAAGGAGGAATCAAAATGAAACGAAACAACTAGTAGAACATGAAACTGTGATAGTGACGAGAAATCATAATGAAATGAAGAATTCAACAGATCAAATGACAAACACATTATAGAGCCTTAAAAACAGAATGGGTGAAGCAGAAGAGAGAATATCGGACTTAGAAGACAGAGAACAGGAAAGGATACAGTCAAACCAAAGAAAAGAAGAGGAAATTAGAAATCTAAAAAATATTGTTGGGAATCTACAGGATACTATTTAAAAAAACAACATTCGGGTTCTAGGAGTTCCTGAAGGCATGGAGAGGGAGAAAGGATTAGAAGGCCTTTTTAGTGAGATACTAGCAGAAAATTTCCCAGGTTTGGAAAAGGACAGAGACATCCTAGTACAGGAAGCTCATAGAACCCCTAATAAACATGACCAAAAGAGATCCTCACCACGACACGTTGTAATTAAACTCACCGCAGTGAAACATAAAGAAAAGATCCTAAAATGTGCAAGAGAGAAACATCAGATTACTCTCAGAGGATCTCCAATTAGACTCACTGCAGACTTCTCATCAGAAACCCTATAAGCTAGAAGGGAATGGCGAGATATAGCCCAGGTACTAAGAGAGAAAAACTGCCAGCCCAGAATATTACATCCTGCAAAGCTCTCATTTGTGAATGAAGGTGAAATAAAGACCTTTCACAGCAAACAGAAATTGAAAGAATTTGTCGCCACTCGTCAGCCCAGCAAAAGATGCTTAAAGATGTGTTACACACAGAAACACAGTCATCAATATGAAAGAAGGTAAAGGAAGGAAACCTCACAGCAAAAGATCACAGAGAGTTCAAAACATATATTAGAAGATATCTTTGGCAAATGGCAGGGCAAAGTTACTACTTATCAATAGTCACATTGAACGTTAATGGCCTGAACTGTCCAGTTAAAAGACACAGATTGGCTGATTGGGTTAAGGAATAAAACCCATCTATTTGCTGCTTACAAGAAACACATCTTTCCAACAAAGATCCATACAGACTGAAAGTGAAAGGCTGGAAAAAGATATACCATGCCAACAGAAATGAAAAAAGAGTGGACGTAGCCATCTTAATATCGGACAACATAAACTTTACCACAAAAACTGTTAGGAGAGACAAAGATGGGCACTATATACTGATTAAGGGATCAATTCAACAGGAAGATATAATGATTATCAATGTATATGCACCTAATTACAGGGCACCGGTTTATTTAAAATATTTGTTAAGGGACTTAAAGGGAGACTTAGACTCCAATACAATAGTACTGGGGGACTTCAATACTCCACTCTCAGAAATAGACAGATCAAAAGGACAGAAGACCAACAAGGAGACAGTAGATTCAAACAACGCTATAGCCCAAATGGATCTAAGAGACATCTACAGAACTTTTCATCCTACACAGAAAGCATTTACATTCTTCTCAGCACTACATGGAACCTTCTCCAGCATTGACCACATACTAGGCCATAAAGCAAGTCTCAGCAAATTCAAAAGAATTAGAATCATACGATGTAGCTTCTCAGACCATAAAGGAATGAAGTTGGAAAATAGCAACTCAGGAATCCCTAGAGCATATGCAAACACATGGAGATTGAACAACATGCTCCTGAATGAACAATGGGTCATAGAAGAAATCACAAAAGAAATCAAACATTTTCTGTAAGTAAATGAGGATAACAGCACAACATACCAAAATTTATGGGACACAGGAAAAGCAGTATTAAGAGGAAAGTTTATATCAATAGGGGCCTACATCAAGAAATTGGAAAGACACCAAATAAATGAGCTTTCAATGCATCTCAAGGATCTAGAAAATCTGTAGCAAACCAGACCCAAATCCAGTAGAAGAGAAATAATTAAAATCAGAGAAGAAATCAACAGGATTGAATCCAAAAAAAACATTACAAAAAATCAGGCAAACAAGGAGTTGGTTTTTTGAAAAAAAAAAAAATTGACACCCCATTGGCCCAAATAACTAAGAAAAGAAGAGAAAAGACCCAAATCAATAAAATCAGAGATGAAAAAGGAAACGTAACAACAGACAGTACAGAAATAAAAAGAATCATCAGAAATTACTACAAGGACTTGTATGCCAGCAAACAGGGAAACCTATCAGAAATGGATACATTCCTACCTAAATTGAACCAGGAAAACATAGAAAACCCAAACAGACCCATAACTGAGACAGAAATTGAAACAGTAATAAAGGCCCTCCCAACAAAGAAAAGCCCAGGACCAATGCATTCACTGCTGAATTCTACCAGACATTTAAAGAAGAACTAACTCCAATTCTTCTCAAACTATTCAGAACAATCGAAAAAGAGGGAATCCTCGCAAATTCTTTCTATGAAGCCAGCATCACCTTAATTCCTAAACCGGAAAAAGATGCAGCATTGAAAGAGAATTACAGACCAATATCCCTGAAGAACATAGATGCAAAAATCCTCAATAAAATTCTGGCCAATAGAATGCAACAACACATCAGAAAGATCGTCCACCCAGACCAAGTGGGATTTATCCCTGGTATGCAGGGATGGTTCAATGTGTGCAAAACAATCAATGTGATACACCACATTCACAGGCTGCAGAAGAAAAAGCATATGATTACCTTATAGATGCAGAGAACGCATTTGATAAAATACAACACCCTTTCATGATGAAAACTCTAAGCAAACTGGGAATGGAAGGAACATTCCTCAATACAATCAAAGCAGTTGATGAAAAACCCACGGCCAACATCCTATTGAATGGGGAAAAGTTGGAAGCATTTCCACTGAGATCTGGTACCAGACAGGGATGCCCACTCTCACCACTGCTATTCAATATAGCTCTCGAAGTTCTAGCCAGAGCTATTAGGCAAGAAAAAGAAATTAAAGGGATACAAATTTGGAAGGAAAAATTCAAACTATCCCTCTTTGCAGATGATATGAATCTTTATTTAGGGGACCCAAAGAACTCTACTAAGAGACTATTAGAACTCATAGAAGAGTTTGGCAAAGTAGCAAGATATAAAACCAATACACAAAAATCAACAGCCTTTTATACACAGGCAATGCCACAGCTGAGGAAGAACTTCTAAGATCAATCCCATTCACAATAGCTACAAAAACAATCAAATACCTTGGAATAAACTTAACCAGGGACGTTAAAGATCTCTACAATGAAAATTACAAAACCTTAAAGAAATAGAAGAAGATACCAAAAAATGGAGAAATCTTCCATGCTCATGGATTGGGAGAATCAATATCATCAAAATGTCCATTCTCCCATAAGCAATTTATACATTCAATGCAATACCAATAAAGATACCGAAGACATTCTTCTCAGATCTGGAAAAAATGATGCTGAAATTCATATGGAGACACAGGAGACCTCGAATAGCTAAAGCAATCTTGTACAACAAAAACGAAGCCGGAGGCATCACAATACCAGATTTCAGGACATACTACAGGGCAGTTGTTATCAAAACAGCACGGTACTGGTACAGAAACAGAAGGATAGACCAATGGAACAGAATTGAAACACCAGAAATCAATCCAAACATCTACAGCCAACTCATATTTGATCAAGGATCCAAAACCAATCCCTAGGGTAAGGACAGTCTATTCAATAAATGGTACTGGGAAAATTGGATTTCCATGTGTAGAAGCATGAAGCAAGACCCCTACCTTTCACCTTACACAAAAATTCACTCAACATGGATTAACGACTTAAATCTAAGACCCGACACCATCAAATTATTAGCATTGGAGAAACCCTGCAAGATACAGGTACTGGCAAACACCTCTTGGAAAACACCCCAGAAGCACAGGCAGTCAAAGCCAAAATTAACATTTGGGATTGCATCAAATTGAGAAGTTTCTGTTCTTCAAAAGAAACAGGAAAGTGAAGAGGCAACCAACAGAATGGGGAAAAATATTTGCAAACTATGCAACAGGTAAAGGGTTGATAACCAGAATCTACAAAGAAATCAAGAAACTCCACAACAACAAAACAAACAACCCACTTAAGAGATGGGCCAAGGACCTCAATAGACATTTTTCAAAAGAGGAAATCCAAAGGGCCAACAGACACATGAAAAAATGTTCAAGATCACTAGCAATCAGGGAAATGCAAATCAAAACCACAATGAGGTTTCACCTCACCCCGGTTAGAATGGCTCACATTCAGAAATCTACCAACAATAGTTGCAGGAGAGGATGTGGGGAAAAAGAGACACTAACCCACTGTTGGTGGGAATGCAAACTGGTCAAGCCACTATGGAAGTCAGTCTGGAGATTCCTCAGAAACCTGAATATAATCCTACCATACAACCTAGCCAAACTACTCCTTGGAATTTACCCAAAGGAAATTAAATTGGCAAACAAAAAAAGCTGTCTGCACATTAATGTTTATTGCAGCTCAATTCACAATAGCTAAGACCTGGAACCAACCCAAATGTCCATCAACAGTAGACTGGATAAAGAAATTATGGGACATGTACTCTATAGAATACTATACAGCAGTCAAAAACAATGAAATCCGGTCATTTGCAACAAGATGGAGGAATTTGGAAAACATCATGCTGAGTGAATTAAGCCAGTCCCAAAGGGACAAATATCATATGTTCTCCCTGATCGGCGACAACTAACTGAGCACCAAAGGGGAAACCTGTTGAAGTGAAATGGACACTATGAGAAACAGTGACTTGATCAGCTCTTGTCCTGACTGTTGATGTACAATATAACACTTTATCCATTTTAGTATTTTTTTTGTTCTAGTACTATTGGTTGAACACAGTAATTAACACACAATTATTCTTGGGTGTTTAAATTTTAACTGAAAAGTGATCCCTGTTAGGAATTTGGAAAACATTATGCTGAGTGAAATAAGCCAGTCCCAAAGGGACAAATATCGTATGCTCTCCCTAATCGGTGACAACTAACCGAGCACCAAAAAGGAAACCTGTTGAAGTGAATTGAACACTATGGGAAACGGTGACTTGATCAGCCCTTCCCTGACTGTTGAACAACTTAATATGTTATCCCGCTTAGTATTTTTTTTTGTTTGTTCTACTTAATACTTTTGGTTGAATACTGTAATCAATACAAAGTTATTCTTAAGTGTTGAAACTTAACTGAAAAGTGATTGTTATCAAATATAAGAGAGGGAATAAGAGAGGGAATAGATGTGCAATTTGGGACATGCTCAAGCTGACTTGCCCCAAATGGTAGAGTTAGAAACATACCAGGGAATTCCAATTCAATCCCATCAAGGTGGCATGTACCAATGCCATCTCACTAGTCCTGGTGATCAATTTCTGTTCACAATTGATCATAATGATCGGACTAAGAGCCAAAGGGATCACATAAACAAGACTAGTGTCTGCAAATACTAACCGATGGAATAAAAAAGGGAGAGAACGATCCAACATGGGAAGTGGGATACACAGCAGACTCATAGAATGGCAGATGTCCTAAACAGCACTCTGGCCTCAGAATCAGCCCATAAGGCATGCGGATCTGGCTGAAAAGCCCATGAGAGTATTTCAGGCATGGAAAGCAAAGACACTCTGGCAAAAAAAAAAAAAAAAAATGACCTAAATGAAAGATCTCTGTGAGTGAGATCCCAGTGGAAAGAACAGGTCATCAAAGAAGGAGGTACCTTTCTCTGAAGGGAGGAGAGAACTTCCACTTTGACTACGACCTTGTCTAAATATGATCAGAGTCGGTGAACTCAGGGGGCTTCCATAGCCTTGGCAACTCATGACAAGAGCCTAGGGTGATTACTGATGCCATAAACAAGAGTGTCCATTTGTTAAGTCAACAACAGGAGTCACTGTGCACTTACTCCTCATGTAGGATCTCTGTCCTGAATGTGCTGTGCATTGTGATTTAATGCTATAACTAGTACTCAGACAGTATTTTTCACTTTGTGTTTCTATGTGGGTGCAAACTGTTGAAATCTTTACTTAATATATGTTAAACTGATCTTCTGTATATAAAGAGAATTGAAAATGAATCTTGATGTGAATTGAAGGAGAGAGGGAGTGGGAAAGGGGAGGGTTGCAGGTGGGAGGGAAGTTATGGGGGGGGAAGCCATTGTAATCCATAAGCTGTACTTTGGAAATTTATATTCATTAAATAAATGTTAAAAAAAAAGAACACAGATAAATAAATATTCAGTTGAAGGAATTATTTTGGCTGTTTTAGGGTACACAGTGATACATATTTAATCAGTAACCTGAAGTAACCAATTATTTATAAATTAGCTCTTCATCAGATTAAGTATTATAACAGGTTATAAATTTTAAAGCGAATAAAAAAGTTCACAAGACAAACTATCTGATAAAACTTCCTTAACTTCTCTACATTTCCCTAGCACATGTTCAAGTAGGTTGTAATAGAAAATGAAGAACTTGGAAGACAAATTTGGTTTCTAACTAAACAGTTAGGTAAAATGGTCTTTATATATATTTTTTTTTTACATAGTATAAATTCATATTGTAAAACATAGTCTTATTTTTTGGTAGCTATTTTCTGGAAAAAGAAATATTTTCTTTTGAATCAAATCAAGTAAAATTTTGACCATTAGAAATACTTCACTTGAAGCAAACACACGAGTTTCATCTCACCATTATCTTCACCTATAAGAGAAAATAGAAAGTATTCTTAAAAATGTCTAATATAATCACATTCCAATTACATTTAATATAATATGGACTTACAGCATACCACTTAAACTATCAGTTACATGCTGGGCCTTGGTCAGCGTGTAGCCATCCTTAAATGAGGCTTCTTAAGGATAAAGGCCAAAATTACAAGATTTTCATATGGTTTATACAATAAACAGCATATAATAAAACTAAAAATATAGGCCGGCACTGCAGCTCACTAGGCTATCCTCCGCCTGCGGCATTGACACTCAGGGTTCTAGTCCTGGTTGGGGCGCCGGATTCTGTCCCAGTTGTTCCTCTTCCAGTCCAGCTCTCTGCTGTGGCCTGGGAGGGCAGCAGAGGATGGCCCAAGTGCTTGGGCCCCTGAACCCGCATGGGAGACCAGGAGGAAGCACCTGGCTCCTGGCTTCAGATCGGTGTAGCCTGCCGGCTGTAGCGGCCATTTAGGGGGTGAACCAATGGAAGGAAGACCTTTCTCTCTCTAACTCTGCCTGTCAAAAAAAAAAATATATATATGTGTGTGTGTGTGTGTGTGTGTATAAAGATCTTTTTTATATAAAGATTTATTTGAAAGAAAGAAAGAACAAGTGAGTGATCAATGTTCCATCTACTAGTTCAATTCCCCAACAGCCAGGGCTGGGCCAAGAAGATCCATGTATTTGCTCATCATCTGCTGCCTTCAAGATGTTTTAGCAAGAAGCTGGTTCAGAAACAGAAGAGCCAAGACTTGAGCTGGCAATCTAATATGGGTTGCAGATGTCCCAGACATCAGGTTAACCCACTACCCATCCCCAAGATCTAGTTTTAATAATTAACAAACATATGATGCTTTTCCTTTAATCATTATATATAAAGAACACTCTCTGAACGTAACTGTTTCTATGCTAGAATACTTTTGGAATTTGCTGCTCTTCATCTTTTCATTACTCCTTTGTCAGAGAGGTGGTTTGCAAATATTTTTTTCCATTCTGTTGGATATCTTTTCATTCTATTGATCATTTCCTTTGCTGTGGAAAAGTTTTGGAGTTTGACACAGTCCCATTTGCTTAGTTTTGCTTTTGTTACCTGTACTTTGTAGATCCTGCCCAAGAAGTTGTCCCCTATACTAATGTCACTAACTGTTTCCCCTACATTTTCTTCCAACAAATTTACAGTCTCAAGTCTCAAATTCAGGTCTTGAGTTCATTTTTTGTTTATGATAACAGGTATGGATCTAATGTCATTCTTCTACATATATAAATCAAATTTTGCCAGCATAATTTGAGGATGAGACTGTCCTACTCTACTGTAAGGTGTAAGCAGTTTTGTCAAAAATCAGCAGGTTAGCAGGCGCCGCGGCTCACTAGGCTAATCCTCCACCTAGCGGCGCCAGCACACCAGGTTCTAGTCCCGGTCAGGGCGCCGGATTCTGTCCCGGTTGCCCCTCTTCCAGGCCAGCTCTCCGCTGTGGCCAGGGAGTGCAGTGGAGGATGGCCCAAGTACTTGGGCTCTGCACCCCATGGGAGACCAGGATAAGTACCTGGCTCCTGCCTTTGGATCAGCGCGGTGCGCCAGCCGCAGTGCGCTGGCCGCAGCGGCCATTGGAGGGTGAACCAATGGCAAAGGAAGACCTTTCTGTCTCTCTCTCTCACTGTCCACTCTGTCAAAAAAAAAAAAATCAGCAGGTTATATGTATGTAGACAACTTTCTGGGAACTCTATTCTGTTCCACTGATCTATATATCAGTTTTTATGTCAGGACCACGCTGTTATAGCTACTCTAGCTTTGTAGTATGAAGTCAGGTATTGTAAAGCCTCCAGCTTGATTTTTCTTGTTCTGGATCACTTTGGCTATTCTGAGTCTTTTGTGATTCCATATGAATTTCAGGATTGTTTTTTCTAATTCTGTAAAGAATGCCAATGGTATTTTGATAGGGATTGCATTGAATCTGTAGATTGCTTTAGGCAGTATAGACATTTTAATGATACCAATTCTTCTGATCTATGAGCAAGGAGCATCTCCGATTTTTTGTGGTGTTGATGATTTCTTTCATCAATGTTTAATAATTTTTATTAAAGATATCTTTCACTTTTTGGTTAAATTTATTAATAAATATTTGAATTTTGTGGCTATTGTAAATGAGATTTCTTTCTTGATTTCTTTTTCTGTGGGTTCATGATTAGCATATTAAAAAGCTACTGGTTTTTATATGTTTATTTTGCAACCTCCAACTTTACTGAATTAGTTTATCAATTCTAACAGCTTTTTGGTGGAGTGTTTAGGTTTTCTACGTACAACATCATGACATCTGTAAACATGAGTATTTAGACTTCTGAATATATCAACAACTTAACAACAACAACAAAAACAACCAATACTATTGAAAAATGGGCAAAGGACTTAAAAGAACAAATACAAACAGCTAACAGATACATGAAAAAATGCCCAACATCACTAGCCACAAATGCAAATCAAAACCACAATGAGATATCACCTCACCGTCAGAATGGCTAAAATCCAAACACAGAGAGTAACAAGTGCTGACAAGAATGTGGACAAAGGAGAACACTTATGCACTGCTGGTGGGAATGTAAATTAGTGCAGTCACTATGGAAAGGTGTGGAGATTTCTTTAAACACAAGAAATAGACTTGCTATATGATCCAGCAGTCCCACTACTGGGTATATACCCAAAAGACTTGAACACAATATATCAAAGAGACACCTGCACCACATTTATAGCATATATAAATATACACACACACACACACTGGAATATTATTCAGTTGTAAAAAATAATAAATTCTCCCATTTGCAGCAAAGTAGATGCAACCTGAGGATATCATGCTGACTGAAATAAGCCAGACCTGGGGCTGGCGCTGTAGCATAGTGGGTAGAGCCCCCATCTGCAGTACTGGCATCCCATGTGGATGCAGGTTTGAGTCCTAGCTGCTCCACTTCCAATCCAGCTCTCTGCTAATACACCTGGGAAAGTAGTGGAAGATGGCCCAAGTGCTTTGGCCACTGCCTCAATGTGGCAGAACTGGAAGAAGCTCCGGGATTTGGAACAGCCCAACTCTAGTAGTTGCAGCCATTTGGGGAGTGAACCAGCGGATGGAAGACCTCTCTCTCTCTGTCTCTACCTCTCTCTGTAATTCTTTCAAATAAATAAATCTTTTAAAAATATATTAAAAAATAAAAAAGAAATTAGCCAGACCCGGAAAGACAAATAACCAGATGTTCTCCCTTATATGTGGCAACTAAAATTTAAAAAACAAACAAAAGGAAGAAACTGCTGCTCTTCAGCAGACATTAAGAGCAGTTGGTGAAAACCTCACTGTGATACTGCTTCACAGCTGCCTAGAGGTGGGGAAGAGGCCAGAAGGTATGAGCTCTAGGGCTCCACAGCAGCTCTGCATCTCTCAGCTTTAAATGTGGGATTCTAATATTAAAATTTTATTTTTGGAAAAAAGGTTCTGTTGTTGAAAAACTGTTGGAAAAAACAGATGTAGAAGCCTCGTTGTTATGACTCAGGAATAATATGAAAGAAATACATTTAAAAAGATGGAAATCAGCATTTTCACAGGAGGTAAAAACACAAATAGCATCAGCAAAAGCTACTGAATTACTTCATGGAGAACTCTGACAGCTAGGACAAACTCTCTTCCCCTTACCTAATCTTTCGTCTGTCTTTTTCACATGGCTTTTCTCCTCTTTCTCTTACTACGCAGTGGTTCCCTTCCTCCCTTCATCTTTCTAGCAGTTCCATGTGTTTCATTTATTACATCATAGAAGGGAAGTGTTTCTTAGGACTTGATGGTTTAATTAAGTTAACAATTACATTTTTATTTTAAATGTAAGTGCCCATAGAAAAGATTTGGAAGAATAATCTCCAAACCCTGTACTATGGAAAAGAAAAGTGAGTAGGTCAGTGGGTGGGGAGAGCACTTTTCCTTTTTTACAACTTCTGAACTGCTTCAGTGTTTACGAATTTTCTGTAATTAAGACATTTAAACTGAAAAGAGAAAAGTTGTGACATTAAAAGTAGGAAAAGAGACAAAGGACAAGAAGTCACACAGGCCTTTTTCCTGACCCAATTCTGTTCTCCAGGTATTTAGAGCATGAATTTGAGGAAGAGTGTTTGCCCCATTGTTAAAGAGTGGGCATCTAAAAGCAGTCCATGCATTCAACCCTTTTCAGTGTATTTTGTTTTCAGAGGGTTCTAAATATACAAACCTAGACCAGGAAACTCCATTTCTTAAAACAATCCTGGTGTAAAGAAAACACTGGAAAGGCAGGTCAATTACAAGGTTGCTCCCAGAGTTTGGTTTCTCACCGAGTTTGTGGTAAACTGACTACATCAATATTGTTCCACTGAAATTTAATGCCAGATCTTATCTAATTAAAAATTTTTCTAATAGCCACATTTTAAAGAGTAAGAAGTATATATACACTATAACAATAATACATTATGTAATACAAGGGTTAAAATAGTCTTACCAAAATAAAGTTCTGCTTAATGGCAACAATATTACACTAGTTGTTTTTCAAAGGGACTAAAGTTAAACAAGATTTAAAATTCAGCTTCATAATAGCCACATTTCTTTGCTCAACAGCCCCAAGTAGTAACTGGTCACTTTGATTGACAGTGCAGGTCTAGGTTACTGCGTAAGTTTCTGAAACTTCTCTATCTATATTCTGACTCAAAGTGTGCTATACTTGGTCATCATTCTGGGCTGTATCCAGGAGCTTATTAGACTACTGGGCATGGGCCAGCGCCGCGGCTCACTAGGCTAATCCTCCGCCTTGCGGCGCCAGCACACCGGGTTCTAGTCCCAGTCAGGGCGCCGGATTCTGTCCCAGTTGCCCCTCTTCCAGGCCAGCTCTCTGCTGTGGCCAGGGAGTGCAGTGGAGGATGGCCCAAGTACCTGGGCCCTGCACCCCAGGGAAGACCAGGAGAAGTGCCTGGCGCCTGCCATCGGATCAGCGCAGTGCACCGGCCGCAGCGCGCCGGCCGTGGCGGCCATTGGAGGGTGAACCAAGCCAAAAGGAAGACCTTTCTCTCTGTCTCTCTCTCTCTGTCCACTCTGCCTGTCAAAAAGAAGAATACTGGGCATCACTCAAGACCTATGAAATCAGAACCTGTGTATTACTAATACTCTTGGGCAATTTGTATGCACACTGAAGTTTGAGGAGCATTGTTAAGAGCTATTAGTTCTCAAACTCGGCTGTACATTTGAATCATCTGGACAGTTTAAAAAATACCAACACCTAGGTCCTCATCCCAGGATTTTAACTTAAGTAGTATGGGGTAGGGACTGGGCATCCAGATTTTGAAAGAATTTTGACTTAAGTAGTATGGGGTAGGGACTGGGCATCCAGACTTTTTAAGAGTTCCTCAGGAAATCTGTAGTAGATATGGATTACTCATGTACTCTAATTTGTTTTGTTTTAAAGCTACTTTATAGTCTAGCACCCAGCAGGTACTCAATAAATGATCATAATTAAATGAAATGTATAGAAATACTGAGATTTAACTGTGAACCAATCCACACTATTAAACTAAGCAAAACATAAAAATTATCAATATGTAGTTATAAAAACATTTTATAAACAAGCTTCAAAGGCATGAAAAACCCACCTCGGCTAGGTGCAAGAGGATTTAAAGGACGATAAACAGATCGAGGCCTGAAAAAGAAAACACAAAACCCACACATAAAATGGTTTGACTTGTATATATTTTTTCCAGCAGTAACAAATCTTCCCTTCCCCCTGTCCCTTTAATCATTCCTCTTCCTCCCAGCCCCTCTAGTTACTTGAAACAGTTTTCTTCATAGATGCTGTTCCACACTCTCCATGCAGAGGACCCTTTATAGCCGGTGTAACGCTCTGGGTTCAGCAATAGGTCTACGTACTGAGCAGCTGGAGATCTCTCATCTGAAGAAGAAACAGTTCATACAAAATATCCATGTTTCACCATTTACGTAAAGTTTAACATTTTACAAAATAAACAGGACTACCCAAAGGTTAGTCGTGTTTTTTAAAGCCATTTCCAAATTAAATGGTAGAGTGGTTAGCAAACTTGTGACTATACTTGACCTAGAATTTGTAGTAACTTGGACCAATTACTTAAGAGAGAAGAAAAAACAATCCCTCTCTTTCCTTTGGATACTCAGTGCTCTTTCAAGTAATGTTAACATCTCTCTCCATATTAAAGGCAGCAATCATTTCCTCTTTTAATCATCAAGAATGATGCTTTAAGGGAAAAACGAAAAGTAAAAATCTATCACACTATTAATGAACCAATTACTTCACTCAGCAAACATTTACTGCACACCTACCATGTCCAGGCACTGTTCTAGCAACTAGAGATACAGAAGTGAGCCAAAGGAACAAAGCCCTTGCCCTCAAGTGGCTTACAATGTAGTTGGAAAGGACAGATGATAAACTGATAAACTAAGTAATATGCCAAATAGTCTCAGGCAGTTGGTGCTGGGGGCTAGGGGACAGAAACCGGCAGTGTAAAGAGACAAAGAGTGATGGTGGCTATTATTTTAGGATGATTAGAGCCACTTTAGTGAGATGACATTTGAGCAGAAACATGAACTGAAAGGAGCAAACCATGCATAAATGTAGCAAAAATGTCTAAGGCAGAAATAGCAGTTTATAGTAAAGGATATTAAATGCTAAATTATTTTAAAACTACTATTTTATATACAGGATTCATAAAGGAATCATCTTCTACTTAAATAAAGACAAAACCAACAACAAAACAGCAGGGAGCCAAGAGTGTATGGATATATTCACTAATAAAATGGGGTGAATAATCTATTAAGATTTTCATTTTAATGCACTGAATTTAGATAAAGAATAACAAACAGCAACTTGAAACCCACCCAAGTATAAACAATTGGATGTTATTGCTTCGAAGAGTAGTGGTAATAAACAGCATGGTTTTATATGCATAAGAATTATTTAAAATATAAAAGTCACTGATTAAATATATGATCCTAAAAATCTTAAAGGATGATATAAAATCATACAGCATTTCTCAGTTTTTATAATTTAAGAAACTAATATTTTAATCAGTACTATACTGATGATAGGTAATTGGTAATCTAGCACATCAATTTAATTAGCACAAATGATCTCTGCAATTGAGATTTTATTAAATATCTACTACAATTTGTACTCACAAAAATGTCTTATTAATTTGAAAACCAGATAAATTAGCAGTATTTTTTACATTAATTAAATAATAGGTGAAATAAGAGATAGGAAAAAAGTAACTGAGTATTAAGCACTCAAATATAATTAGAATGACAACCAAAGAGCCAATGAAAGAGTGAGCAATGATACAAGCACTTAACATAGGTACAACAGCTTGCTTTGATAAAATCTTTGCTGATTCTAAGCATCACAATCAGGATATTTCATTAATTTCCCATTAGTATTTCCAGATACCTAAAGAAACCTTCTTCAGGTTTCCTAAACATCTTTAGAAAGCAATACGATCACCCCCAGACACTTGAAGAGTTCAGAAAAATTTCTGCTGTCTTTTTCCACCTGTTTACTTGAACTCCAAATTCTTTCTCACCACCAGAAATATGACAATACCAAGGTAAAAGACTGAGAGGCCAAATGAATGAATTAAACCTACTCAGCACAATATATATATATATATATCATATATATTATATATAATAGAATCATGCATAATATAAAATTGAATCACTGTAATTGTCTTTTGTTAAAGACAGTGGTAGTTACTTAGTTTGACATTCTGGGAACTCTCTGAAAGAACACTGTGGAGAAGTTGACTTAGAATTCTCAATATTGGAAGGCAACTTTATGTGAGTTTGTTGAAGTCTCTGACAAGTTCCAGTGGAAACACTGTTATGTATTCACAGATCTTTACTAAAAGGGCTTCGACTGAAGGTCCATAGGAAATACAGTGTCATAACAGAAAGAGTATGGGTCTTAGATTCTTCAGATCTGGAATCAAATCCTGTTTCAGCCTCTTGATATTCTGTGATCTTGAGCAAGCTATTAATCTTTTTGAGGCTCAGTTTTCTCAAATATGCAATACACATCTATTCAGACAGCTGTAAATATCAGAAATAATGGGGCCAGCACATTGTGGTGCAGTGGGTTAAACAGTCACCTGTGATGTCAGTATCCCATATAAGCCTGGTTTGAGTACCAACTGCTCCACTTCTGATCCAGCTCTGTTAATGAGCCTGGGAAAGCAGAATATGGCCTGAATACTTGTGCCCCTGCCACCTACATAGGAGACCCAGAAAAGTTCCAGGCTCCAGTCTTCAGCCAGACCATTTGGGGAATGAACCAGTGAATGGAGGTTCTCTCTCTCTTTGTCCTCTCTCTGTAACTCTGCCTTTCAAATAAATAAATCTTTAAAATATTAAAAATAATTTATGGCACTTAACATAGGACCTGGAACACAGGCTCTCAATAAATGCCATCATGAATAAGATCTATGTAGCAAAATCTAGGATGAAAGCTGTAACTCAGATATTTTCACTGATTTATATGTCTTATAAAAGGATTAAAGTTAAAATTGAATTACAATAGTTTATTTTATTACCATCAAGTTCACAAAAATGATCCTGTGAATCATCATATCTTGCCCAGTCAATGAAAGCTTCTTTGCTTTGATTACTATGGGAAGGAGGAATAAAAAAGAAAAATAATTAAATTTGGAGTTGAAAATTTTAACACTGTATTCTAGTGTAATTAAAATAATCTGAGGTCACTTGCTTATTAGACAGATGCTGTCACAAATTCTGTATTAGTTACATGAAATAAAAAAACAAGTTACGATATATGAAAAAAACAGACTAACTTCCATGAGTGATTTGTATTTCCTAATTATATTAAAATTGCTATTAGCCCAAGTTCAATAACAATTTGACTAGAAATTAATTTTAAAATACATATAACACTTAGTTAAAACATAAAAATCAAGCTGGCCTTTTCATCTGACTTAGAAATTTTAGTAATGTTCCCTGAAGCAGGAGTTAAATTCTTTCAACTTAAATTGCTTCCATACTTACAGTATCCCACTATAATCTAAAAGTTGTACTTATGAAATTTATATTTATTAAATAAAAGCTTTCTATAAAAAAGTGTGAACCAAATATAAATCAAGTAACTCCTAAATGTGGTATTTATATACAAGTATTTTGTATATGAGCAACTGCTATATAACCACTGCAAATAAGTTTATAGTTCATTGCATCAACTCCCAACTCAACTCCTCTTCAAAGTTTTCCCTAAAGAAACACACATTTAAGAAAAGTTAATGGAGGAGGGGCTGGCACCATGGTGCAGTGGGTTAATCCTCCGCCTGCGGCTGGCATCCCATATGGGCACTGGTTCTAGTCCCAGCTGCTCCTCTTCCAATTCAGCTCTCTGCACTGGCCTGGGAAAGCAGAAGATGGCCTACGTGCTTGGGCCCCTGCACCTGCATGGGAGACCAGGAAGAAGCTCCTGGTTCCTGGCTTCAGATCGGCGCAGCTCCGGCCATTGTGGCCATTTGGGGAGTGAATCAACAGAAGGAAGACCTTTCTCTCTGTCTCTCCCTGACACTGTCTGTAACTACCTCTCAAATAAATAAAAAAAAATTCTTAAAATAAAAAGTTAATGGAGGAGCTGGCACTGTGGCATAGTGGGTAAAGCTGTGGCCTGCAGTGCCAGCATCCCATATGGGTGCCAGTTCAAGTTTCAGCTGCCCCACTTCCAATCTGCTCTCTGCTATGGCCTGGGAAAGCAGAAGACGGGCCCAAGGACCTGCATGGGAGATCCAGAAGAAGCTCCTGGCTCCTGGCTTTGGATCAGCGCTGCTCCAGCTGTTGCGGCCATTTGGGGAGTGAACCAGCGGATGGAAGACCTCTCTCTGCCTCTCCTGTCTCTGTGTAACTCTTTCAAACAAATAAATAAATCTTTTAAAAAAAAACTCACACTTGACTCTCATGAAATATTTGATGCTATAAACAAGAATGCCTCAGATCTTGTTACAGCTAAAAATGACAAAACTATAGCTGTGTTTAGTAAGAGGTTTGATGTTGAACAAATCGTGACATAAATTCCATTTTCTTAATAACAGTATAACTGACTTATACGAATTTTCTCTTTGAACATCCTTATTTGATGAGGTTTTGCTAATTATTTTATCTACTTCCTGCCTAAAGCTATGGAGGCAGAAGAGATATTGAAAGCTCATCTGATGGCCGGTGCCGGGGCTCACTAGGCTAATCCTCTGCCTGCGGCGCCAGCACGCCAGGTTCTAGTCCTGGTCGGGGCGCCGGATTCTGTCCCGGTTTCACCTCTTCCAGTCCAGCTCTCTGCTGTGGCCCGGGAAGGCAGCAGAGGATGGCCCAAGTGCTTGGGCCCTGCACCCGCATGGGAGACCAGGAGGAAGCACCCGGCTCCTGGCTTCAGATCAGTGCAGCGTGCTGGCCATAGCGGCCATCCATTTGGGGGGTGAACCAATGGAAGGAAGACCTTTTTCTCTGTCTACTCTGCCTGCAAAAAAAAAAAAAAAAAAAAAAACCACACACCTCATCTGTTAATAGAGGTGGCCCAGCTTGGTTTAAACAAGGGACATTAGAGGTCAGCTTGTCCAGTTCTTCCACATGTCAGTTTAGAGATGAATACAAATCTATTTACAGAAAAATTTCTTTGTTTAAAAAAGATTATTTATATGAAAGAGTTACACAGAGAGAGACAGAGACAGAGAGAGGTCTTCCATCCACTGGTTCACTCCCCATTGACTGCAACGGCCAGAGCTGTGCCGATCTGAAGCCAGGAGCTAGGAGCCTCTTCGGAGTCTCCCATGTGAATGCAGGGGCCCAAGAACTTGGGCCATCTTCTACTGCTTTCCCAGGCCATAGCAGAGAGCTGGATTGGAAATGGAGCAGCCAGGACTTGGACTGGTGCACATACTGGATGCCGAAACTGCAGGAGGCAGCTTTACCCACTACACCACAGCGCTGGCCCCTACATAAGAATTTCTTGAGCCTAACCCAATGCTTCTTGTCAAGATGGGGATTTCAAGCAGAGAAACAAGAGACAGAAAGAGACTGGATAGAGAGATTACAAAGGTCATGAAAAACATGGGAAGGACAAAATATTTTAATTGTGACGTTTCCTGAGTGTGAATGTATGTCAAAATGTACACTTTTAATATGTACAGATTATGTCAAACATCTCAAAATAAAGTTGTTTAAAAATTATAATATTTTTTGAGAAATTATGGAACTAGGAACTTTCATACACAACTAACAGCCGTGTAATTTGGTATATCAATTCTGAAAAACCATTTGGCTGTACTTAATTTGACTTCTAGGAATATGAGTATTCTCCCCAGAAATGCATACATGTACCACCGAAATATTTTAGAAATGTCACCAAAGAGGAAAACATGCAGCTATCAATGGTAGGATGAAAATATGATATATCCTTACTACACAATACTATATAACAATAAGAAAAAAATAAATGTTACTGTGCTAAAAAAAAAGAATGAATCTCACAGACATATGTTAAAAAACATGTTCTATATCATTCCATTTATAAAAACAGGCAGAACTAATCTCTGCCAATAAAACTCAAAACCATGGTTAACTCTGGAAGGTGGTTAGGACAGTGCATATGGCAATTTGGGTAGGCTATTGTGTTGGGTTCACTTTGTAAAGTGAAATTGACCTTTATACTTAAAACTTGTATACTTTATGTGTGCTATACTAAAATTAAAAGTTCTAAAAATCATTAACTTCTATTCATCAAAACTATAAGCAAAAATAAAGATAAGCCCTAACAACCTGCATAGCCACAAAAGATTTAGTATAAGTTTATATAAAGAATGGCTTTGGCCGGCGCCGTGGCTCAATAGGCTAATCCTCCGCCTGTGGCACCGGCACACCAGATTCTAGTCCCGGTCGGGGCTCCAGATTCTGTCCCAGTTGCCCCTCCTCCAGGCCAGCTCTCTGCTATGGCCCGGGAATGCAGTGGAGGATGGCCCAAGTCCTTGGCCCCTGCACCCGCATGGGAGACCAGGAGAAGCACCTGGCTTCTGCCTTTGGATCAGCGTGGTGCGCCAGCCGCAGCGGCCATTGGAGGGTGAACCAAAGGCAAAAGGAAGACCTTTCTCTCTCTCTCTCTCACTGTCCACTCTGCCTGTCCAAAAAAAAAAAAAAAAAGAATGGCTTTAAGTCAATAATTTAAAAATCCAAACCCCCAAATGAAAATTAATGACAAAAAATATAAAAACACAACTTACCTCAAAACTTCGTAATAATGTAACCTAGTCCACAGATCACTTCTCTGTGTAAACTGTCTCCTTGGTGATCTCACTTGGGGTTAGGGCTGTTAAAGTCATATATTCACTGATTTGACTCTTAGGCCTCTCTAATTCAGATTTACATATCCAATTGACTACTCCACATCTCCAAATGGATGTCTCATTGACAACCCAGATTTAACAAATGCAAAGTTGAACTGAAATTTTCCATCAGAATTGCTCCTCCTGCAGATGTCCCCAGTCAGTAAGTGGCAATTCTTTTCATAATTCCAAATGTAATCCATAAAGCTCCTGTCTTTTATACCCCATATCCAATCCTTCAGCAAATCCTGACAGGTCTGTCTACAAAATATTTCTAGAAATTGACTACTTTTCATCAGTTCCATTGCTATCACCTTGGTCTAATCCACTATAATGTCATTTGGATAACTACAGCAATCAGGTTAACCATGCTTCACCCACATAACATAAGGCTCTCTCAATACATGCCCTTATTCCTATGTTCCAAATCCTCTGATGACTTTTCATTCCACTCATTTTAAAAGCAATATTCATTACACAGTAATTGCCTTTAAGGTTCTATAAGATCTCTACCCACTAGACCTCCTGATCTGCCCCCATTTTTTTACTTTACCTTTTACTTCTTTGCCTTTGATTACTATACTCCAGTCATAATGGCCCACTTTTGGTTCCTCTAATAGTCCAGGGTCTTTTAACTCACACATATATACCTGGAATACTCATTCCCTAGAAGGCCATGTTATAATTCACGCCTTCACCTTCTTCAGCAATTTTCTCAAATGTCCTATTATCACAATCTCTGAATATTCAGTTTAAAACAGTACCTTCACTTCTAGCATTCTCTCTTCTTTCCTCCCTTCTCTATTCTTTTCTCCTTTATTTTCTCCCTAGGATTTATCATCATTTTACCTACTCCCCATATACTTTACTTGTTTATTTTCCCCTGATTACGATATGAGAGCAGAAATTTTTTTGTCATATACAATACTGTATTCTTAGTACTCTAGAATGGTACTTGACACACTATAGGTATTCGTTTTTTGAATGAATAAGAAATGCAAATGTCTGAAAAACATATTTTAAAATGTTCAAAATCACTAGTACTCACACAGTATAATTTTAATTTAATACTTACAAAGTGTAAATTAAAATGAGATACTACTTTACACTTCTAAAACATTATCAACTTTTGGTAAAGATGTGGAGAACAAAATTCCTTACACTGGAGGTAGATAGCATACATTCACAAGAATACTCTGGAGTCATCAGGAATAACTTCAAATGGACAACTCTAGGATTTGACAATTTTACTTTGAATGTATACACACACCAAAAAACAAAACACCCATGACTCAGAGATGCTAAAGGTGTCATAGTTTGTGTAAGTGAAAACTAGAAATGGCCTAGATATCCATCAGTAGGAAAAGACAAGTAAAATATGACATATTTATGATGTAAACCATCCTTCAGTGAAAAGAATGAGACAAATCCTTATGTTCAAAATGGATAGACTTAAAAAGCAAAATGTACAATGAAAAAAGAAAGTTAAAGAACAGTAAATATAGTATTACATAATTTATATAAAGGAAATGTAATAAACATAAAACTGTAACTTTTATAAAAATATGATAAAAATAAAAAGACTGCCTGGATACACACCAAATTCATGATAGCAGTTATCTCTAAGGATGAAGGGAAGAAAACAGGATTAAAAAATAGAAGATAAAGGATTTTAAATTTATCTGTCATGTTTCTTTAAAAAATGGTAGAAAATGTTAACATCTATTCACTTGGAATGGAGGATATGTGAATATTAATAATATCTCTTTTACCTTTTTTTAGTCAGTTTTTTTCAATAATTATAAGACTATTAACTTTTAATATAAATCATTGACAACTGTAGTACATAAGTACAAATCTAAACAAAAGGAAACATACAAGAAGTTTTGCAATATTCCATTCTCAATTACAGATTAAATGTTCAGTCATTTTACAATGTGTAATCTGTGACCATTTGTAAATCACTTGTATTGATTTTTAAAAACAAGTATCTGCTTAATGCAAATCAGGAAAAGTTAACACACAAAAAACTACTTAACAATTATATTAACTGCAACTTTTACCATTCAAAATGTGGACCATACAGATGGAATTTATAAAAGATTCACTGGTTTAAGACCCTTTTCCCATCAGAGGAAGAATGGATCCATAATCTCTGCTAGTTGAAAAATATTATTAATTTCTATTTTTTAGATTTACTATCAATGATATATATTAGAAATTTAAGAACAAATCAGCTAGGAAGAGACAAAACTATGAAATTCAGAATAACTTTTTCATCCTTTTAAATGTTTATTAATAGAAACATTAATGCTTAGCAAAAATGTTTTAACAAAGTCACAAGAAAAATAAAAATTAACACAAATAAACTAAATAAGAAAGTATTTTCTTAATGCCACTAAAACAAAGCTTGCCTTAAGGTGCTGTTAATTGCTCCCAGTTTATTAGCTTGCTCACAATCTTCTAATTCTTTGGTATTGTTTGCCACTTTCAAGTACTGCAAGGAAGGTCATAATAAGTAAGTTTAGTAATAATTATTAACTTTCTCTTTATTTCAGCTTCTATTGGCAGAATAATCAATGTTAGTGATGATATACCCTACATATAGATACATCCTATTATAAAAACCCTAACATTCACATGAAATACAAATGAAAATAGAGCACAAATTTTCACCTACTAAATGAACAGATATTAAAAACCTGGCAAATGGGATTGGCTGTTGCAGTTGATTTTTCAACAATGTTGCAGTGGATTTGTTTCTGAGAGGAGGAGCGTGGTGGGGGCAAGAGGCTTGGAGTCACCACACAGACCCCAGGAGTCGGGTGAAAGCGGGCTTCAGGCAAGCAGCCCACAGACTCATTTATTTCAGTTAGTACAACAGCTTATATAGTCAAGACCAGCCAATCCAGTCAAGGGGCGGTCTATGCCCCAACCAATCACAGCCTGTTGCCAGGCAGTTTCCAAAGCCATCAAATCACAGCCTGTTGCCAAGCAGGCTCCGTTTGCCATGTGGGTTTCAAAGCCATTCCTGAGTAACTGACACTCGATTGCCAGCGGCCATCTTGGCATGGCCTTCTCATTCCACCACATTTCCCCCTTTTCATTTATTTTTGAGCAATGGGAGGCATGATTCTTGGCCATACCATTGTTGACCCCGTTTCCATGTGGTCTCCGTACGCAGCTGTGCCTGTCTTAGGTTGTCCTCCAGGGGATCTTACCCATCGTTGACTAACCAGCGCTCAAATCGAGAGACCACAGGGCTGCTTGCTCAGATAGGGGTAGGAATGAGGAATAATGGTTATCAGGAATGGCATGACGCACACAGGCTGTGGGCCATTTGAGTGGCTGACCAGAGCTAGTGGGGTATAAAACAGTAACAGATATGGCTATGGGCAGTTTCTCGGGGTAGGATGATAGGGCAGGTGCGTCTGCTAACAAGGCAGTCTTGTTCAGCTGGTTCTGGTTGGCTGTCAGTTGCAGGCTTGATGTTTCTGGCTGGTACCCAAATGGGCTGTCCCGCACTCTCAGGTTGGGCCATAGCCTGCAATGCCAGCATCCCATGTGGATGCCAGTTTTGAGGCCCGGCTGCTCCACTTCCAATCCAGTTCCCTATTAATGCACCTGGGAAAGCAGCAGAAGATGGCCCGGGTCCTTGGGCCCCTGCACCCATGTGGGAGACCTGGAAGAAGCTCCTGGCTCCTGGCTCCTCATTTTGGCCTGGCACAGCCCCAGCCGTTGTGGCCATTTGGGGAGTGAAACAGCAGATTGAAGATCTCTTTCTGTCTCTCTGTAACTCTGTCTTTCAAATAGATAAAATAAATCCTTAAAAAAAATTTATCAATTAACATTGTGTTGGTGATTATATAAACTGAGAAAACACTCTTGGGAAACAAATCTGACAATATATTTCTAGAGTTATAAAAATGAAAAACCCTTGAGCCAGCAGTTCCAATACTGAGACCATATCTATCTTATCTGGTTCTACCTTGTAATATTGAAATAGGCACACTCTAGGATATGCCCATCCTACTTTTAAATACAGAACTACAGAAATTCTTACATGTGTGCAACTGGAGATAAAGAATAAAAATGCTACTGTATCATTGTTTACAATAGCAAAAAATGGAAACTGAATTGTTCATTGAGAAATAAAAGGCTAATCTATGTTACAATCATACAAATAACTATTCTATGTTATCATATAACTTTTCAGATGAATGAAAAGATCCATATATATCAACAAAGAAAAATTTCAACAGTGTTATGACTGAGAAAAAGACACCAAATGTTAACTTGAAGAAACGTAAAAACACAGTATCATTTAATACTTTTTAAGAAGTTTCCACAAAATCATCTCTATATTATTTGTGGATAAATGTGCAATAAAAGTATATTACTTGTATATGCCCCTGCAATAAAATAATAAAATCATAGGCAAATACTTCAGGAAAATGGCTAGCTCTAGGGAGGCAGCTCACAGAGTGAGACTGGGATGGAGTTCAGGGGACTTCAACTGCCTTTCTGTTTTATTAATTATAAATAAAACAAAAACAAATAGGAGAAAGTGAGCACAAACAAAAGAGTCCTTGGGAAAGAGCAAGAAGCAAATGGGGAGAGGATACACAAGAAAGCAGAGAGAATATAAAGATTTTTAATCTATATGTATAAAAATGAAAACATAGAAATAAAATGTTTAGCTAAACACACAAATAGCAAAATAAATTAGGGCATGCTCATAAGAGGGAAAAGGTAATCTTTAAAGGAATATTTTTATACCATTTGAGAGTTTTCTGTTTATATTATATAAATGCACACCAAGATATGATAATCTTGAATCTAACAGGTTAACTAATTGAAACAGAATGACTGAAAATATTTATGTGATAAAACACATTTTGAGTAGGTAATCTGATATTGTAGTTACATTTTATAGTTCTTCCAAAAGTTCCTAAGAGATAACTGAAGTAATTTTAATAGAAACTGCAGATGGAAGACCTCTTGGCTTGCTGTCAAAATTAAGGATTTAGAATTCTGAGGCAAACTGTCTCTATTCCAAACTAATCGTATTATGGTTCTCTGCTGCAACCACTGTCAAGCAGTAAACAGTAAGTTTTACTATGTGAAGCAGAAACATTCAAGAAAGAAGTGACTTACCTTATTAGGATGCCCAGCTTTAATTCCAACTGGAATTTTACTCTTAAAAGAACAAGAACAAAAATTTTAAAAGTGGTCTTAACTTTTTTAGAGGTTTTCCCACAAATTGCATTGCTCTAATTCACAGAGTATTTTACTACCTAAGGTGCAAAGATGTATTTCTTTAAATTGTTTTCATACTACCACTTGGTGTAAATGTAAAGAATTAGCCCAGTTTACACATTTGTAAATCAAAGTACAGAAGAGTGTAATTCTCTATAGTTTACATATTTTTTAGGTTAAAAACTGATAATCACTTTTTTCTACAGACTCTCTTACCACAGGGGATAAGGGAAAGCATTTAAAAGTTCAAAACTATTTGAAGTATAATATGCTCACTTTTAATCAAAGCTTTAAAATGACATTTAAAATTTAGGAAATTTTGGATTACTAGAAGGCAAGAGTCAGATTCTTGACTACAGAGTTTACCAATTGAAGAACTGTGTATAGGTCCAACATTGTTTTCCACAAAGCCAATAATTAGTGTTGGGCTTTAATAAATCTACCAATTTGTACAACTGTTTTATCAGACAACTTTAAATAAAAATCATACCCAAAAGAAGACAATCCCAGATTGATCTTTTGATCAAAACCTAGAAAACTGATTACCTATTAAAACTGTTCATGTTTCATAGAGAAATTTTAACCAAAGATTCAGAATGAATGAATAATGTAAACAATGAGACTTCCCTTCATTCAATAAAGACTATATAGATAACAATGTCACTTGTTGCCATATTTTATCATGTCTTTGGTTTTTTTTAATGGGTATAAGAGGGAACATTGTAAAACTCAAGTCAAATTTAAATAGTCACAATTATAAAACCCTGAACTTATAGTCTAGAATAAATATTACCCGCAAGTGCCCTATGATACTAGATGTTCTCTAACCAGTGTAGTATAGTATGTGAAAATCAAAATTGCTAGTAGTTTTTAAGAACTTTGAAGCAGAATATAGTTATTTCACTTAAGCAAATCTTAGATCACTTAGAAATACTAAGCTACCAAATATGAATGTCATGAATAACACAAAATATCCCACAAGGAACTATTAAAAGTAATAATAAATGTATAACTAAAATAAAGCACAAAATAAGCTTGATTATTGCCAATAGCACAAAATGAAGCAGTCTGTAAACTACAAAGTGATCTTAACAATTAACTTCAAATTATAGAATGCAAATTGCATCACAAGTTTGGATACAATATGAAATGCCTAAGGACCTTTATTCCAAAGAGAGAAATACAAAAATCCTCACATTAAGAGTCAGCAGAAGCACACAGTTTTTATTTGTGGGGAGAAAGGAACAAAATGGGACTGGAAAGGAAATAGACAGGGATCTTTATATGCCTATGTGTTTTATTTCTTATGTTGAGGATTCATCAAATAATGATTTAATATTTTAAAGGTATTTATTTGAAAGGAAAGGAGGGGGAGAGAGGGCAAATTGTGAGAGAGAGAGAAGGAAAGTAAGTTAGTTCTCATCTGCTGGTTCACTTTCCAAATGACCACAATGGCTAGCTAGAGCTAAACCTGGCTAGAGCAAGGAGAAAAAACACAATTCATGCCCTTGCAGGTGAGAGAAAAGAAAAGAATCCAGCTACTTAAGTCATTACCACTGCCTCCCACAGTCTACAACAGCTTTGACCCAGGTTCAGCTGTTGCAGGCATTTGGGTTGTGAACCAGCAGATGGGACTTCTCTGGCTCTTTCAATCTGTCTCTCGGCCTCTCAAACGGTCCAAGAGAAATCAAGTTTCCCACTATTTTACTATACCTCTGGACAGGGTTCCACATGACAGTCTTTTATTGAACAATGGCCGTCTTCTGCCCAGAAAGGACATGGTCGCTTCAAATTAACCTTGAAAAAAAGAATAAATTAATGTTAGCAAATGTAATGTGTATTATAGTTACAGACTGCTCTCCAAGTGTTACCAGGCTGAGCATCATTGACATGGTAGTGAAAATAAGACAAGTTCCCTATCCTTGTGGCACCTACACAGTTCAGAATTTAAAATAACTGCAAGTTTTCAGATACCCAATATAATATTACTTTTTACAATAAATTGGCTGACACTTCAAAAGTGTTCAAGTTCACCACTTATCTGAAGAATACTGAAAAACATTTTAGGGCTACTTTTGTGTCTTCCAGCCTCCTAATACTACCTTTTCAAGGGGCCAGCGCCATGGCTCACTTGGTTAATCCACCGCATGCGGTGCCGGCATCCCATTTGGGTGCTGGGTTCTAGTCCCAGTTGCTCCTCCTCCAGTCCAGCTGTCTGCTGTGGCCCAGGAAGGCAGTGGAGGATGGCCCAAGTGCTTGGGCCCCTGCACCCGCACTGGAGACCAGGAAGAAGCTCCTGGCTTCAGATCAGCGTAGCTCCGGCCACAGTGGCCATCTGGGGAATGAACTAGCGGAAGGAAGACCTTTCTCTGTCTAACTCTGTCAAATAAAAAAAAAAAATTGCCTTTTCATCAGGGCTCTCTCATGTATCCACTGACTGATGGGCATGTACTAAACATCTACTAACTGTCAGGTACTGTGCTAAGCTCTAGGGAAAAAATAGGCAGAAAAAATAACTTTTCCCCTGAAACAGAGTCTACTGAAGGAAACATATTTAAAATTTATGTTTATTTAATCACAAATGTTGTATTAGGAAAAAAAAATCTAGAGTTTTATAATAGTAGTGCTTATGGATGGAGACCTCTGAGGTTGTCATATTTAGGATTGATCGAAGTTGGAGGAAATGTTTATTTGGATAAGGCAATAAAGAGTTTGGCCAGTCCCGAGAACTGAAACACACCAATTTGAATGATGTTTAGTGGGGATGGGAGAAAGTGGCAGGAAATGAAGGTGGAGGTAGGCAAGGGACAGTTGATGCAGGACATTTAAACCGTGGTTAAGGGGGGAAGAAGGTTTGGCCCAGAGATTAAGAAGCAGCTTGAGGGGCTGTGGTGCAGTGGGTAAGGCGGTGGCCTGCAGTGCCAGCATCCCATATGAGTGCCGGTTCGAGTCCCAGCTGTTCCACTTTTGATCCTGCTCTCTGCTGTGGCCTGGGAAAGCAGTGGAGGATGGCCCAAGTCCTCGGGCCCCTGTACCATGTGGGAGACCCAGAAGAAGCTCCTGGCTCCTGGCTTCAAATTGGCGCAGCTCCAGCCGTTGCGGCCATCTGGGGAGTGGACCAGCAGATGGAAGAACTCTCTCTCTCTCTCTCTCTCTGCCTCTCCTTCTCTAACTCTGGCTTTCAAGTAAATAAATAAATCTTAAAAAAATGCTATATTAAAAAAAAGAGCTTGAGATGTTGCATTCCATATCAAAATGCTTAAATTTGAATTCCAGCTCCACTCCCAATTACAGCTTCCAGTTAATGCAGACCCTGGGAGGCAACACATGATGGCTCTAAGAAATGGGTCCCTGCCACCCAGGTGGGAGACCCACATTGAGTTCCCAGCTTCTAGCTTCAGCCTGGCTCAGCCCTGGCTGTTACTGGTTTTTGGGGAGAGAACCAGCATATGCAGAGCTCGCTCGCTCTCTCTGGTTTCTCTTTGTCTACATAAATAAAAAATTTTAAAGATAAATATCACCTCATCAGAGAGACCTTTCCTGATCAGATTCTAAAATAGTGTTCAATATGCAATCTCCACCCCAACATAATGATTTATATTCTTCTAAAGCACTTATAACTACCTGAATATTATTTGTTTATTTACATTAAGGCTCAGAAGTCCATCCTGCCTAGCATATTTTCCAAGATTCATAAATACACCTCAGTAAGTATGTGTTAAATGAAGTAAATAATACCTGAATTACAGAGCAAAAGACAAAATAAGACAATGGACTGGCAACACAGAGGAGAGGGTATTGTAGGATCAACTCTGGCAACACGTAAAATGGGTACAATAAAAAGTGTTCTAGAGAAGATTTGTAGGCACAGGGGTCTGGATGTCCAAAGAAAGCAGCTTAAAACAGCATGGCACACTTGGGGATTATTCACTCCCAGCCTGGACACCCTGACTCCTGGTCTGTATATTCAACTGCCTCCTTGACATCTCCACGGGGCATTTATACATGGGAGGGACATAATTCTACATACCTTCTTCACCGTAAGTGATAATTTCAGCCCTACAATCTGCCCATGGAAAGAGAACAAAAGGGATACAACTCCTCCACTCTACCCCCTTTTCTCCAGTTTCTGCAATTTCTCATTTCAGGAGGTAGTGGGGCCTCTCCATGCCTGAAAGGGAAAGTGGACCCTCCCTGCACCTTTATATCTGACTTAATGCACTGATAACTCCAGGAGGAACTGAAACTTCCACTTGCTTGAACCAGATAATGGGTACTCCCTGTGCCCTCTTTCCTGGCTAACTTCTGAGATAAACTTTTGCAATCTCTCACTAAAAAGATGCTGGGGAAAATTTCTGTGCTTGACAGGAAAAGGATCCTGATGCCTTCTTTCCTGGCTTGTTTCAGTGATAACTCCAACCAGAAGTCCCAAACCAGAAGTGTCCCCACTGCTCCGAGGGTATGAGACTTCTGCTTCTTCTAAAGAGAATGGGTTTTCTGCCACAGCTTCTTCCCTGGCTTGCTCCAGTAATGAACCCAAATCCTTCTAGAGTCAGTTTCTGTACATGTTGAATATCCCAACTTTTACAGCCTTCACCCAAGGGACTGACTCCTAAATCACCTAGCTTTGGGAGCTGACAGAGTTCTACACTCAAGTCTCCTAGACCACACTGAATAAAAACATGATTTTTAAACCTGGACGCATTTAGCAACAGTTTTCCCAGGTTCAAGATGAGTAGTTTGATCAATAGTAGGTATCTAGAGCAGGTGTTGTGGATAGCAGGTTCAGCCACTTTGGGGACAGTCACATCAGTGTGCCAGTTCAAGCCCTGACACCTCTGCTTCTCATCCAGCTTCCTACTAACCCACCCTGGGAAGCACTGAAGATGACTCAAGTACTTAGGTCCTTGCCACTCATGTGGGAAATCTGGTTGGAATTCCAGGTATGGCCAGCCCTGGCTATTGTGGGTATTTGGGGAGTGCATCACCAGATGGAAGATCTCTGTCTCTGACACTCTGCCTTTCAAGTAGATGACAACAAGTAAATATTTTTTAAAAAGAGTATAGGCATCTGCCTCAGGCCCTCTCCTGGATGTAAAACAGAATAAATGAGAGATAAATTGAGGCTTTAAGCTTCTCCAAAAGGAAAGAAGAACTAGAACACAGATCTACCACCCCAACCTCTCCAGCTGCATCCCAAAGGACTGACTTCTATCCCACCTTCCTTAAGGCAGCAGCATGACTTAACATTCTCCAGTCCAGGGGAAGGGGACACTAAGAACAAAGTGAGCCAGTCGGACACACACAAAAAGTTCTGAGGCAGAATCTCTGGTTGTCAATTTCAGGATGATTGAGGAGGAACATCTCTTACCCAAGACAAGACTAACAAGACTAGAGGACAAATCTGAAGAGACTCATACCAAGACCCATATTATAATCAAAATGTCAAAGTTAAGGAAGGTTGGAATATTGAAAGCTACAAGGGAAACAAAGGAGTCCCAAGAGACTAATTATGAATTCTGCAACAGAAACCCTGCAGGCAAGAAGAGAATGGAATGATAAATTTTGAAAACTGAAAGGAAGAAACCTGCCAACCAAGAATACTATACTCAGTAATCCTCTTACTCAAAACTGAAGGGGAGATAAAAACTTTCTCATATCACCACTAGCTCTGTCTTACAAGAAATATGGAGTGCTTTGAGTAGAAAGAAAATGGCATTAAATAGCAACATGAAAATGTAAAATTCACTAACAAAAGTATAGAAATTCAGAATACTCTTATTCTAAGTTAATGGTAGTATAGAAATTGACTATATCTCTAGCATGAAAGACAAACTATCACAAATCAATGATTCTCACAATTTGTTAAGGGACACAAACTAAAGGAGACACAAAATATGTTATCAAAAACAAACTGTGTTGGCAGAGTAAAATTGCAGAGTTCGTGCAAGTGATCAAAGTAAAATCACTGACAAATTAAAAATAGCCTGTGTAGTAAGCACTTGGCACAGCTGTTAAGATGCTGTTGGTTGACAGGGCAGGGGAGGGAGGGTGCCAGTGTTGTGGCAGACTGAGTTAAGCCACTACCTACAACACCAGCATCCCATAATCCCATATGTGTGCCAGTTTAAAACTTTGACTTTTAAATACATAAATAGATCTTAAAAAAAAAAAAAAAAGATACTGCTTGGGATACCCACATTCCATATCACAGTATCTAGGTTTAAGTCCTGGCTTACTTCCAATTCTAAGATCTAGCTAATGCATACCTTGGGGGGCAGCAAGTGAAGGCTGAAGTAGTTAGGTCGCTACAACCCAGACCCAGATTTAGCCTGGCCTTGCCCCAGCCATTGCAGATATTTAGGGAGTGGACTAATGGATGGAAGGTCGATCCCCCTCTCTAACTCAATGAAAAACAGAACAAGGACACACACATTTCTTCCCACTCCCACCTTCTACCAATCAAGTAAACTGCTCCCGGGTGTGGCCCAGGCCCACCTGGAAAACTACCTTCAAGCTAATTGGAGAGGCATATTGGCACCACAGTCGGTTCTGTCCTATAGCTAATGTTCCCCCTGAGTTACTTACACCCCTTCTACCTGCCCTTTAAAAGCATACAAGGCTGTGAATAAAATCAGACATGTTCACCAAAACTTGTCTCTGGTGCTCCTTGTGGGAAGGACACTGTCACCCTGCTCTCTCTGACAGCGCAGCTTTGCAGGACAAGCCACAAACACAAAATTTTTTAAAAGGCCTGTTATTAAGATGTTTTATTTTAGCCTCATATTAATCACAAA